GTTAAGGGAACCTTGTGTGCATACGATATCATTCATTGCTTTGGATCCTGTTAGTCTTTAAAAAGAGTCTTTTTGCGCTGTTAGAATATTCTCTGTTTGTATTGAGGCCGGACGAAAAAACTACAAATTCGACGCTATTCATCGACATACCTCTTGAGTCTGATAAATCAAACAATTTTCAAGGAAGAAAGTTTGTTGCGTTTGAAGTGATTGAAGTGAATCATTCACCATCGAACGATTTGATTTGAGCAAATCCTGTTTTGTGGCTTCGCTCCATTTCCGACCTGAATATCAGCAATACCATTTGATCCTCCAAGCAAACAACAACAAAATCAACCATAAACCAAACATACAACCACCTTCCAAAGAACGTTCTCTCTTTCGTTCTGCACATTCTTTTGTGGTTCAATCAATTGCTTGCAAGAAGTACTTATTTGCACCCACCACTAAAATAGAACAATCCAAAATCGATATTCGATATTCGATACAAACATACAAAATGCGCGGACACTCTTTTCTAGAAAAGGCGACCATCTTGGCGGGTTTGGCTAGCAACGTCGATGCTTTCTGGCGTTTGCCATGCAGAGCACGAAGTGGAGTAGCAAGAATTGATCCCTTGGTCAATCCTGGGACAGTATCCCCGCATGCACATTCTATTCATGGATCTAGTGGTATGTAGCAAATCTATCTATGGAGAGAGAGGGAAATACTGATCTGAGTCGGTGAATAGGGTTCGGAGAGTCTTCCACTTACGACGATTTGTTGGCTGGAAACTGTACCTCATGTGAAGTCTCTCAAGATAAATCTGCTTACTGGACTCCTTCGCTTTATTTCAAGAATGCCGCCACTGGAGGATTCCAGTTGGTTGAGCAAGTGGGTGGTATGCTTGCGTAAGTTGATTCTCTTCCTGTCCTTCTCTTCTTGGAGACGGTCCCGAAAGGATTGCGGCTAATACATAAAAAACAGATACTACCTTCTCTATGGAGACAATGTAACTGCATTCCCCAAAGATTTTACCCTAATTGCCGGAAGCAACGATCTTCGTAACTTCTCCAATTATCCAGTCCCCGATGTCGACAAATCGAACTGGAACGTGGCTCCATACAACACCCAAGATTTCCTCAGACAGGCCGCTCTCGGTTTCAACTGCTTGAACTATAGTGCTCCTGCTGAAGGATCCCTCTACCGTCATTTCTTGCCTGATAAGGCCTATCTCGATGCTAATTGCGCGGACGGTGTCAGATTTGAGCTCATGTTCCCATCGTGCTGGAACAAGACCGCTGGACCAAACCCAGCAGATGGAAAATCGCACATGGCATATCCCTCCGAAGTCATGACTGGTACTTGCCCAGAAGGATTCGATACCCGCCTCGTCTCGCTTTTCTACGAAACCATTTGGAACACCGCCGCCTTTAACACCACTGCTGGAGAATTTGTTATTTCCAACGGCGATCCAACTGGATACGGATATCACGGAGATTTCATCATGGGCTGGGAGGAGGAATTCTTACAATCGGCTGTTGATACATGTACTAACCTTTCCGGGGAAATCACCGATTGCCCACTCTTCGATATCCAAGATGAAAGTGTATACGGATCTTGCAACATCACACTTCCATCCGCTTTGGAAAACGAAAATGTCATTGGTTCCATGCCGACCCTTCCAGGAAACTGTGCCATTCAATCTGGACCAGTCCCAGCTACTGCTATGCCCGGTTTAACTGGCACTGGAAAATCGTCCGCTTCCACTGCATCTTCATCTTCGTCTGCAAAAGGATCAAGTGCAGCTACCACAACGAGCACATCAGCCGTCGTACCAACTCTTTCCCACTCCGCTGGATCAACCATTGGTAAGCTTACTCGGTTCACTAATCTCAATCTCTCTGATTCCTAATTCTGCTCCCCGATCTCCATCTTTACTTTTATGTTTTATTTGTGCATCCTCGTTACTTCCCGGTGCAGCTTTAACTCCGCATTTTCATTTAAAAAAATCTTTGAGAGGAAATTACTAACTCCCGATCTTGCAGTCGCTTCTTTGGGCCAAACTTACGTACCAGGTGGTGTATTCGCCGCCGTTGAATCTGGAGTTTCTTACTCTTCATCTGGCTCATCGACTGCCGCCGCAGATGAGACCCCAGCCGTAGCAAGCTCGGCAACTACTCTACTCACTGCTTCTTCTGCAACTTTCTATTCAACATCTTACTCGACCACGACCGCGATCTCAGATCTCAATGTGAAGGTAGAGGTTGATGAAGTACTTTGGGTGGAGAAAACTGTCACTGTTACCGCCTCGGCATCGGCGACTGGAGTTGCTAGAAAAAGACATTTGCACGAGCATCAACAGCTAAAGAAGAGAGGTGGACACTTTGTTTGAGAAGTTCACGCAGTTTTGTTTTGATTTAAGTTTCGTTGTGCTTATTTATTTATTCTTTTCTTGATTCCTACATTTTTGCATCTGATGGGTTGATATAGACTGGGAGAGTGAAGGGAGGGTTGGGAAGGACATAAGCATTGTAGCGGGGAGGCAGGCCTTGCTGATATCGTGGTGTGTCCTTGGGATTTTTTGCGATTTTTTAAGCATAGAAAAAGATATGAGAAAGTGATGAGATACCATTTACATACATGTATCATACCTAGCGATACCAAAAATATGGCGGAGGAGAGACAAGATAGGCGGGATATGTGTTTTTGGAGGTTGATGTATCAGAATACATGAATGCCATTGCATGAGATAAATATCTGGATATATGTTCCCTGCTTATTACCCACTCTCTGCTTGACATGCTCGTAGTGTTGATCGCTATGAGATGGGGGTGGCAATTATGAGGCTAAAAGGTAAGGTAAAGAAAGACAAGTGAATGAAATAAAGGTTGAGAAATAGTCATTCAAACTGCGTCAAACAGTAACATCAACGTTCACTCCTTACTTCACCATGCCCATACCATGTCCGAAGACCTACAAAGAAGCCCGGTTACTACTGTACATTTGATAGCTGCCCAATTCTCACACCTTTCTCTCTTCGCTCAATATTATCAATTAGACCTATCTGTATATCTTCCCCAAATTCTAGCTTGACAGCCATGAACACTTCATAAGCATCTAGAGCGATGAAATCAAATGAATGTCCTGTGGATATTTTTGGCAAAATCTCAAGGAGACAACCCAAAGAAAGATGCCTTTACCAAGAGATTCTACAGGGTTTAGATTTCGAAGTTCACGTACTAATATATGAAATTAGTTGGCAGCCCATTTGTATTAATAATTCGAATACAAAATAGTTTGGTATTTCTCATTCTATAAGTATAAATTTAAGCGAATAAGTTCAAATCTAGATGGATCCATGTTCAATAACTTGCAAGCTTTCTGATCACTTTCTTATATCAAAATGTTCACTACTTCCTAGACCTCGAAGAGTTGTGAGAGTGTCACTAATATATTTTCCTGTTATCTCATAAGCCAGACCCGACAATATTGCCTGAATTTCTTATCTCAATTTAGATATTAGATCTCGAACATGGAATTTCAAGTCAAACATTTATAGATTGAGGCCACTATGGTCAGGAGCGGTATTGATATTATTTATTAAAAGTTAAATTTTCAAATTTAGATGTAAAATAGATGATAGATGGGAATATAAAAGAGCGATTCGATAGCAACCTCGACTGTTAGGTAGGAAATTACTTAAACATTGACCTCAAAACTGAAACACACATTCACGATTCCATTGTCATGCTTTCAGGATTGAAAAGTAAGGATAGGATATTGAAAGGTATCAAGACTTGGCAAGTCATTACCTGGATCTGGAAGAGCCCTTAGTCTGGTTGACACCATTTGGAGAACCATAGAGTTATATTCTCCGATGCATTTCTCATAGAATTATCGAAGAATGTAAATTAGTGTAAGCGAGTAACCGGTACTATACCTTCACATAATGGATACCGCAGTAAGAACGGTGTTCTTTGCATACAGAAAAATAGAAAGAGAGTATTACGAAGTAGATCAAAACTGGGGATATTCTTGGGCTGACAAGTATTGGGAAGCGCCGAGTCAGCTATCTGTTAGGAACCGCGTTTGTGGGATGCTAGAAAAAGCTAGCGACAACGACACCAATCGTGGATGATCTTGTGGTGCAACGAGATGAATTTAACAGATGTGTGTGTGGTTGGGGTGGTGGCTTGAGGTATTGGGTAGGCGAGGGAAGAAGAAGTATTTAGAACCGGATACAGTTGCGTTAGGGCTTCGAGAATGAGTTGACAGTCAATTCGCAACCTTAAACTGTTGCATATGTGATATCTGTGAAAGTTCTTGCAAGTGGACTTAACATCACCTTGATAACATTACCATAAGTACTGGTGTAATCCGAATGTACAAATATGATATAGCATAGTGTTACACATGGGACTTCAATACCGCACCCATAAAGATACTAAATAAGGATTCCATGCAAGTATCGAGGCCGTTTCAGATATCTCAATGCTAGTTTCCAAACTCGAGGACTGTATGGCTTTTGTTTCCTACCAGCACAAGTTCTAAACATGGGATTGCTTAAGCCCACTTAGGACAAAAGGTGTGTTTGGTGCTGGGCTTCCAACATTCACAATTATCCTCGTCATTCCAATTCAGGCCTCTGATTCCTCAACTCGGAAGTAATTTAGAGGGATTGAATGTGACGCGTCTTCCGGATGATAAAAGATATTCCCGATTGACCTCATACTGGATAAGAAAGAAACAAAAGAGAGTTGCTGGTGCGAGTGCTTTGAAATTCTGGGAAAAGAAGAAACTTCAAAGTGTATGATGGAAGGAGGACAAGAATAAAAAAGACGACCTAACTTCGCAACAGCTCTTGTGTGGTTTGTTCTGCGTGTATGGAACTGTAAGACCGAATAGAAGAATCAACATGACGACCTTGATGAGATTAGCCCAATACCCAATTTCTGATATCGATATACCGTTATAAGTGTTCATATTGCCGTGTTTGACATGTTGTCGATTTGTCTGCACCAGAGACCAAACTAGGCGCGTGGTGGGGGTTGGGTAAGCAGCCGCGCGCACTGGCATTCGCCTCTAAACATTGACATTATAACTTCATGTTGCTTAGTTAACTGTGTGAATATAATCTACATTTACATAACAACCCGAAACCTGTTTGCACACGTATACAGATCTTATATCGTCCTCGAAAGTCAATCAAGTTGTTCATCATTCCTCCAGTTCCCGTCAACCACAATAATGGCGTTTGCGGCACTAAATGGATATACAAAAGAGTATAATTTCGCAAGGCAGGATCACTAGGTGTATGGCTCACGGTGGAATATGATGGTCCATCAGGTTGAGCGAATAGAATCTACGATAGTCTCAAAAGCTCTCATAGACCATCTACGGACTCGGTACCCCTAAATCAACTCACCTTTATTGGAATACGACGCCAAGTTTGATAGAGCTTAACACAACGTAGGGAAGGTGACGTGAATAATGGACAATTTCAAGATAAACCAGTCGAAATTGATTTTCACGGCTCCAAACTATACCGCGCTTTCTTCTAGCTTGATACATATCGATGCGTTTCGAATGCAAGTGCATTTGTAAAGAGGCTTCATCTCGTTATTCTTGGAAGGTACTGTCTATCTGACCATTTTCTCTGTTAATTCCTTCCCCTTCAGCCAGTATCAACTGGCCGGCTGATTTCAAAAACAGCGGAGAAATGGAGCTGGTTAAAGTCAATTGCATTGCCCCGCATAAATCTGCGGACGCTCAGTAGACCGGATAAAGTATATCCTCCAAATCAACCTTTTATCGAGGATCTTCCAAGTCAGATGACAAACAGAGTAGCTGGTGCACAGGAATCGAACTATTTTCATTGGGAGTCTTGGATAAATTCAAAGAGTGCGTTAATTTAAACGCACACAAGTTTGTGAATAGACAAAGTTCAATAGTACAAGAATGAGATGCAATCCCTTGGTTTGAATTGTTTAGCCATCATCGCGATGTTTCTCTTGTCCCATCGACACCTTCTTGTCTTCGCCCCTCTTGTATTCCCACTTATACTAGCACTCTCAAATACTGATACATCATTGACACTTTTGTATCAGAATAACTTAAATACTTCCGACGATATAAACCACGTGGGGTTCATTCTCCTTGACCCTTACTCCCCAAAAGATGCATCTGCAGCATGTGAGGCTTTGAATGAGACGTTGCTCAAAAGTGGCACAATACAAGACCACACATCCGATTTTCTTCTTCCTCTATCATACCAAGCATACCGCGGTCGCGCTTCATCGTTGCAACTATACTTAATTGACGATGACATCGTTTCCTACGATTCAGTTCATGGGTTGAGCTTCCCGAAGTCTACTCATGGTTACGCAAAATTCCACGTTCTTTGTACTCATTCTAGTAACGAAAGTCAACCTGGAACAGCAATTGCTACCAAAAATAACGAAATTTCCGTAGCCGCTGGAGGAAATACATACATTGGGTTCCGCAACCAAAAATCATTCCGCTTTCTCGGCATACCATATGCGAATCCGCCCGAAAGATTCGTCTATTCCACGCCGTACTCACCGACCGGCCGAATCATTCAAGCCACGGCGTATGGATCACAATGTGCACAGGCTTCTAGTGGAAGTGAGGACTGTTTGTTTCTCAATATCCAAACCCCATACATCCCTAAGGTAAGATCTACGAAGGACTTAAGACCGGTCATGTTTTGGATTCATGGCGGAGGGTTCGTCGCGGGAAGTGGTGCTGACCAGTTGAGCGATGGAGGTGATTTGGCTAGTAGAGAGGATATTGTTGTAGTCAATATCAATTATCGGCTCTCAACGTTGGGATTTCTAGCCATTCCTGGGACGAATATTACCGGAAACTACGGAATCGGGGATCAGATTAATGCTCTTGAGGTGATATATTCCTTTGGTCATGATCTATGACAGTATGAAAGTACTCGAGGCTAATAATATAGCAGTGGACGGTGAAGAATATTGCTGCTTTTGGGGGAGACCCAAATCGAATCACGATCATTGGTGAATCAGCTGGAGCAGGATCTGTACGTGTTCTTCTAGGCTCGCGGCCAGCAATTGGAAAATTCCAAGGAGCAGTGGCAATGTCAAATCTCGGTGGAGGTGTAGATCTTGGACTGTTGGGTGACTATGCAACCACTTACTCTACATATCTCACAATCCCAGAATCCTATGCTCTCGCTGGCCAGAATATATTCTTAGCATCTGGCTGCAACCAAACATTGCTATCCGCCCAGATTGCCTGCCTCAAAAGTGTCTCTGCTTTACCTTTGGTAGAACTTGGCGTCAATGCACGATATGTTGTCCAGGACGGCTACTTTGTAAACACAGCCGAACTCGATCTTACCAATCATCACGGGAACACGGCCTATGTGGACGTTATTTTCGGCGTTACTGCTAATGATGGCGCATCAATCGGTTCTGTCTACCCTGCGACCCCTGCCAATTCCGAAGTTGTCGGCATCTCCGCCTCTCTTGGTATATCTCAATCTTATGCTCAGTCCATAATTGATAGCGGGCTATTCCCTTACTATGACACTGGAAATATCACGCTCGACTCCTTTAATGTGTCACAGCGGGTGGCGACGGATAAGGATTTTAGATGTGTAGATCAGGCGACTGTGTATGCGGGCTCTAAAAATGATATTTTTAAGTCGAGTTACTTTTATGAGATGCATCGGACGATTGCAGGCTATGACCCCAAAGAACTTGGTGGACCTCCGGCTTCACCTGGCTATCCGAACGGAAACCCAAGTTTGCCATATTTCAAACTTCATGGAGCTGATATGCCGTGGGTCTTTGGAGCTTTCAATACCGGATTACAATTTAGAGATGCGGAGGATTTATGGAGCTTGGAGTTAAGCGTCAGCTACTTTGGAGCATTTGTAAGAACTGGGAATCCGAATCCGGATGATGAATTCTTGAAGAGTAGAGGATATAAGACCGTGCAGAGGGGCATCAAAGAGGCAGGAAAATGGGAGCAAGTGGGAGTGGGAGGGAGAAAAGGCAGTATGATGTTAATTGATTGGCCAGGGAAAGCGAAAGGGTTTGCGGACTTGGAGCAATGCTGTTGGCTGGGATATGGAGTCGATTATTATGCTAATGGTGGGTTTTAGCAGAATGTGGGCAGGATGACTTCTTGGATCAATAATCCAATCGTGGCTTAGCTGATCGTCTTCCTGCTCCATCTTCTGTTCCATCTCACTCCATTGAATCTTACATGTGTCATGACTTGACTTGATCATCTTGGCCATCATGGCCCGAAAGTTCACTCTCAATAATCCCCTTGTTACCCACCTCAATGCAGCGTTTCAAAGTTCCCACTCTATTCTCATTTCGGGCTAAGGACAAAAATAAACCCAAGCTTTTCAAAGGACAGCTAAGGATTTGATATAGTCTATCCATCTTACATTTACCTTCATGGATACGAATTAACTTGTTCATGGACTTTCGCATCAGAAATGTTCATTCTAAACATACAGTTCATCGATCGGTGGATATCCCCTGTCTTATAATGCGCCTTCTTCTGCTCCTCGTTCCAATTTACAGGTTGACAGCCATGAAAAGTTGGTATTCTCGAACAGGATCAAAGAGAGCAATTCAGCCCCACCAACCCTCGATACCATTGAAGATTGAATGGTTGAGAAAGAGTGTGTAAAGAGAATGAAAACAAGACCAGAATATCTATGATGCCGTGGGGATTTCCGTGTAGCGTCATGATCATGATGGATTTTGGATTCCGGGTATGGGGTTGGAACACAAGAACAAAAGTATGATTAGCTTCGAAGAAATAGAGATCTAATCAAGAAATTAGAATATTAGGCAATCATAGTTTAATGCTAAACTTTGCACAAATCCAAATTTCGTTCACAAATTTGATGCAGGTAAACATTCTGATACAAAAAGAAAAGGAGTTTTGTTTTGACATTATACCAAATGTTGCAATTTATTGTTTGCTTGCCCCAAGTACATCCAACCTAGTGAATGCAAAAGGGTACCATATTGTAGAAGTACCTGCCCAATGATCGATTCCTGGCCCAAACCATGCCCCTCCGGATTCCCCCTAAAAACGCCTAAAATGTCTCGACATTGAACTCCATATGTTACAACATCTCTAATTATTCTCTCTCGCTTCTAAAATTGCCTTGTTCAACTTATGGTTTCCCGCATTTAGTACCCTACTCCCGATAGTGGGTCCTAGAAACTCTTCTATTTGTTTTCCTTCATCACTATCTACATCCATCACCCCATTCATTCCATTACCGTTTGTACCATTCGTACCATTCGTAAGGATATCAGCTTCTTCAGAAAGACTCATGACCGTTTTCACGAGTACCGCAATCAACATCTGTACATCCTTGTCATCCCCAGTTCTGTCAGTTCTCAATTTGTTTAACACATAATCGAAAGCTTTCAAGTTTGGAAGAATGAGGGCTCTAACACCATCAGGACCACCGATTGCCAGGAGTCCACTAATAGCGCCATAATACTCTCCCGGAGAGCGCGTTGGATCCAAGAAGAATTTTAGACAAGATCTTGCTAATCTTGCCCTAAGCTGTGCGTTTGATTCCGTGTACTTTCTTGAAATGATGCCGATAAGAGATGCTGCCGTGTCGCGCAGTTGATATTTCGCTTTCAATTCATCCGATGCCCCTGTTCCAAGAGTACGACCGACTAGACATGTAAGAATAGGTGGACAAAGACTCGATATGTATGGATTGACAAAGAGGGTTGTGTTTGAGATGAGGGCATTCGCTAATTTCAGCATTTGTTGTAATATGAAAAGGTTACTCAAAGAATGAGTTACTTTCTCCGCAATGAAATGAACAAAATACGGGACCAATTGATGAAGACCTGGATCCGATCTGATACTTTCCAGTGCTGATTCTCGTAATGTCACGACTTCCGGATCATTATCTTCGTCGAGAATAGCTGCACGAATCTTGTCAAAGAATAGTATCAACTCTTTCGATACAATATGCTTGACCAAAGGCTTAACCGAAACATTGTCGTTACCAGCTAGAGCTCCGAGATTGAGATTCGCACCGGGACCTTTAGGCACTAGGTCATTCGCGCGAGCTTCTGCTGTTGTGGGATTTTGGGGGATTGATGGTTGGACACCTTCGACCGCGAGCCAATGTGCTATTTGCTCATAATCAGCATCTTTCTGTACCATACATTTCCCATGATTCCTTACCAGTAAATGACATATCTCTCGGAACTTTTGGTAGAGGGGCATTGATGAGTTTCTCAAAATCTACTTCCTCATCCTCAATGTAGAAGAGCGGTTGGCCAGGACCTAAGCTTGCTTCTCCAAATCGCAGTGGTCTAGTAGATTCGTAACCATAGAGTGGTTCGACGTCCAGTACTTTAAGCGCTTGTGAAATATCTTGCGTGCCTAATACTGTCCTTTTCCCTTGATGCATAAATCGCATTGCTTCGACAATGACTTGCCCGACTCGGTATTCGACCTCTTGCGACAGTGCCCTTACTGCTTCTTCGCCCAATTGCGAAATACCAACGGATTCCGCAACATCGCGAACATTGTCGGGATTCCATACTAATTTGGGGTCCGCCATTTTGATCGAGTGAGCTGTCGAGCTTGTACGGAGGAGTATCGATCGCAGACTGCTTCGAAGAGGGAAGGATTTATTGCGACAGGGAGGAGAGTCAAGATCGCCTACAGTTGAGAAAGTAGAAGTGTAGGTAAGATGGAGAGGGATTTGAAAAGCAGTTAAGATGCTCACATCTGTCTAAATAAATATTGTTGTTGTCGCATTCCTTATTTATGGCTTGTAGGATGGAATATTCTATAGCAGATGTGATGTGGTGGGTGGTTCGAATTGGACTGGGGCTAAGGGCAAACAAGGCTGATAATCACAAGGCTGACAATCAATTCAATTCATGCATTCGCTCCACTGATCTTACGGGTCCTCTCATCACATTAAATACATTCGCCTTTATAAGAAATCATTTCTCATACTTTTTAAACATAACTTGCAAAATGACAATTACCAACATAGAGCCTTATCCTCATCGCGAGTCCTCACATCCCACCTCCCGTGGCTCATTCATCTTAATCGAAGGACTTGACCGAGCTGGAAAAACGACCCAAGTGAAGAAGTTATGTGATAGACTTTATGCTTCTGGACGAAATGTTAAGCTGATGCGATTTCCTGGTATTTAACGTTTCATTATTACACATCCTAACTCCCCTGAACAAAGGGAATAACTTCAAGCTCATAATTCAAGACAGAACAACCCCAATTGGACAACAAATAAATTCCTACCTCCAATCCTCCACGACCCTTTCCGATCAATCTATACACCTCCTCTTCTCCGCCAATCGATGGGAAAAAGCCCGCGAAATTCGAGAGTTTATTGCGAAAGGGTACACAATCGTCTGCGATCGTTATTACTATTCCGGCATGATTTACACCTCCTCCAAGTATCCGAAAGATTCTCCAAACCACCTTTCTCTCGAATGGTGCAAAAACCCAGAAATAGGACTACCGATGCCGGATAAAGTGATATTCTTGGACTTAGAGTCCGAGGAAGCAGAAAAGCGAGGCGGATACGGGGATGAAAAGTATGAAACCAGAGAAATGCAGAGGAGAGTTAGAGATGGGTTTCTGACATTGCAAAATGTGGTCATCCCAGGGTTTGAGCATGAGCGAAGTATAATGAAGGCCATTGATGCGGGTGAAGGTCTGGACGAGGTCGCAGAGAAGGTGTGGTATGTGGTTGAAGGTTTGGTAGAACAGATAGAAAAAGGAGAGCTTGGGGAATTAGGCATTGTGCGATAGGATGAAGATAAGTATAGAAACATTACATATGAGGCGACTAATGAATTCGCACTAGTAACAATAGATATAGAATGTGGCAAGAAATCTCGGAAGGACAAACCTTTCTGAAAGGACATACTGACGACAAGGCCAACGGAGTTGTGCCTCCGACTTGTATTTGTTCTATTCAAGGCCACAGAACCCAGGATAGAAAATTATCCAATTTAAACCCAAAACGATAGTAAGAAGGTATGGCGTTAAGACCAAAGATAAACGCCTTCCCATGGTGGTGTTGAAGACCAATGTACCTTTCCCATACGCCGCATGATGCAAATGCAGATGTACCATCCGCCCCTTTTCCGATCTATCTATCTTCTATTCAATCCCACCAAACTAAAAAACTCATTTCTAGTCTTCTCCCTCTTTTCTATGCAACCCAGAACGCAACTCGTAATCGTTGTAGCACTTGTTTTCTCGACTCCACGCATAACCATGCATAAATGGCTAGATTCCATAACAACTGCCACACCTTGCGGTTTAAGGATTTCCATAACCGCATGCGCTACATCTTTTGTGAGTCTCTCCTGTATTTGTAGTCTTCGTGAGAACATATCCGCAATTCGGGGCAACTTCGAGATACCGATGACATTTCGATCTGGAATATAACCAATGTGCATCTAAATTTCGTAAGTATTAGCTTCCATTGCTTTGACCAAAATCAAAGGATTAAAATATACCTTTCCAGTAAATGGTACCATGTGATGCTCGCACATACTGAAGACTTCGATATCTTTGACAATTACAAGTTCATTGTGATCCTCATGGAATATTGCATCATTCACAATGTCTTTGACATTTTCCTGATATCCTTTCGTGAGGTGTAGCATTGCTTTTGCATAACGTTCTGGAGTGCGTAGAAGACCTTCTCGATCCGGATCTTCGCCTATGCACTCGAGAATTGTGCGGACTGCGCCTGTTAACTTAGACATTCGGACTGCTGCTTGTTCTGGAGATTCGTCGAGACGTTCTCGTGCGCCTTTGCCTGCAATGAATGTTAGCTAAATGAGCAAAACATATCTGATTACCGGCAATTGGCTAGAGCGAATGGCGAAGATGATGACATACTTGGACGACTCAAACCATCGAAATCAATAACTGGACTTGGACTTCTCGAAACCTCAATTGCAGTCTCTTCCGGGGTATCTGTGGCCTCATCCCTTGGATCTCTTGCAGGTTTGGTGCTGATACTATGTTTTCTGTGACTATGCCCATGACCGTTTGCCTTTGCCTTCTTCTTCTTCTTCTTACTCATTTCCCCGCCTTCCCCATTACTTTCGGACTTGCGTTTGGAACTTCCGCCATTCGTTTCTCTGTTTTCCTTCTCGGTTTCCTCCTTATTCCCTTCTATGTTGGAGAATTGAACCATTATGAAAGATCGGGGATTGAAGGATGATTTATATTATTGTATCTGAAGGGAAAGAAATAAAAATATGTAGGGTGGATTGGAATGACTGGGGTGATTGTAATCAAAGAAAATTCACCCTGTGAGATTAGGTATTGTCTTCCGAGATAGGGCTCGATTGGCTATCTAAAGTGACGCTAAGAATACTTGGTATGGGTATGTATGCAGAGTAGGGGTTCAGCCTTGCTTGCGACAAATGAATACCACCTCACTACATAAAAAGGTCTCACTTTTTTGATATTGTAGGTATTGTAAGATTACCAACTACAAGATCTACTCTACAACCTCAATTGTTTTTCGTGTGTACAACGAGTAAGACTTGTCAAACCTTCGTCGCCGATAAGAGCTTTGGTCCCAAGGCTACAGTTCTCTTACCTACCGGTACTTATCCATCTAGCACTGACTAGCTCAAGAATCACCGCACGATACCGAATTTCCGCGAGAAGTCACCAATTCAATATGGCGTCTCCACCATCACACGCAGATTTCCCCAAGAATTCCCTTTCCCTTACAATTCCATCCAACCCAGTCCCATTCCCCACAACTACGTTATCGCATACACGTCGAGCTTCCGAAGTCATCTCGATCAAACGTCGGAAAGTAAGTATGATATCCACAACTTCAACTCACTCTGCGCATCCTCTACGCCAAACCTCGTTTCCTCCCGAATCCGCCGTATTTACACCTGGCTATGAACGCTCACCAAGTGTTGATAATATGTCCCTCGTTAGCGGAAGTGTCGCAGGTGGTCAATCAAAAAGGAAACGCGCCAAGAAGTCGAAAGGTGGAAAAGGCGATTCTGAGGGATCCAATGCTGGCGCGGCAAAATCAGACGGACCTGCCTCAAAGAAACGACGAACATCTACTGGAAACATCGAAGACGATGAAGAAGACGATAATAATGTGGATCAAACCATGACATCGATGACGTCTAGCATTGAAGAAAAGCAAAGGGACATACAACGAAGGGCTTTGTTAGCGAATCATTTGGATCCGGAACAGTTTGAACGTTACGCAGCTATGAGAGCTGCAAAATTTCCTGATGCTACAATTAGGAGGATTGTAAATCAGACTCTCTCGCAAAGTGTGCCGGGTACTGTTATTTTGGCGGTCAAGAGTGTCGCCAAACAATTCGCTGGAGAGTTGATTGAAGGTGCGAGGAAGGTACAGACACAATGGATCGAAGCTGGAGAACCAAACTCTGGATTTATCACTTCCCTGACGCAGCATACAACTATGGCTGGCGAAGAGGAAACTGGTGAAGAAGTTAAGGCTCAGGAATTGAGGAGGGCACCTTTGCAGGCGGATCATTTGAGGGAGGCATTGAAAAGATTGAGAGAAGGAAATGAAGATGGATTGGCTGGACAATTGAATTTATGGCAATTGCAACAACATAGTGGGGTTGAAAGATTTGGGTCTAGGGTTGGAGGAAAAAGACTTTTCAAATGAAGAAGGTGTGGGTGTAGGACTGTCAGTTTAATTATGCATTTGAGGGACCTGGAGTTTGGGGGAGAAGGGAGCATGGGAAGTTGGTGTTCACTGGAGTTTTGGGCAAAAATGTGTCCTTGAACAGAACACTTAGGCCTCAACATTGAATACTTAAAGACAACTTTATACTAATCCAGGACGTTCGTTTATATTCGCGACTACTATAAGGAGGTCTGTGATAGCCAAAAATATATTACTATTGAAAACATAAATAATATTCAATCTCTACAATATAAAATTTATATTATTTATAAAGATTTTTTCTTTTAAATTAAGATATATCGAATATATTCGCAGGCTTATTATATCTTTAGAATGCTACTTAGATAAGATCAAATCGATTATGAATTTACTACTACTACTACTACTACTATTACTTACTATATGTGACCAAAAGGGTATAAACAGGACTCCGATTGTGTACTTAGAATCTACAAGTGAAGAGCTATGTAGGATGCTAAAAGGAGGACTATATATACAGGTATTGGGAGCCATAAGGGCTAGGCCCAAAAGGGTGAAAGAGACCTAGGCGTAAGATGCCTAGGTTTAGAGCTGTAGAGCTAGGGCTCTAAGCTGTGAAAGGAAGGTCCAAGAGAGCCATCGTATTATGCTACATATGTAGTATGAGCCAGTAAGCGGAAGAGAGCCGTCTGTTCCGTCCCACTATAACTAAGTGAGTAATATCCAGATATTGGCAATCATCTAAAAATCAAATAAATTCGTTTTTAATAATCCTTTTTATATTCTATTAATCCCTTTCTCTTTAATCTTTTTTAATCTATCCTATAATTTTGATCTTGATAATATTATTATCAATTAGTTCTTTAAATATTTTTCCTATCTTAGATTTCGTTATTGCGTTAGTAGGATTAGATTCTTTATTAATCTATTTGATTTTTATGATCTTATATTATTTATATAATTGTCTAAAGGCTATTAAATCAATTATTAATCTCTTCTCTTGGGTTGTACTAAGCTTAATAAGATAATTATAGAGTGATTTGAAGTCGATACAGATAACAAAAGGGATTTGTTTTTTTGTGAAAATGTTATCTATTGTATTCCTAATCGCTACACTGAAATCGAATCCGAGTATTATTCTATAAAGTTCTAAAACTAAAATGTTTTATATAATTCTTTTATACTTGATAGATAATCAGTGGATAATATTAGCTTTATTATATTTATCCATTAATATAATTAAATATCCAATTTATAATAATAAGTCATGGTTGTTTACAAATGAAATATCAGTAAATATAATCAATTTCAAGGAATCGATATCAAGTGATACAAATTTGAGTCCTTTTATAGAATTGTCGATTTGTCATTGAATATAATTATTGAATAGTTTTGTATTTATATCCTTTGGATCAATAATCTAGGCAGTAAACAAAAGATCGAAAGATATCTCTAATTAATATATTATAATAATATAGATTTCACAAACTCATTAAACAATATATTAATCCTTAGTTATTGTGACGGAACAGACGGCTCTCTTCCGCCCACTGGCTTATACTACATATGTAGTATGATATGACGGCTCTTTTGGACCTTCCTTTCACAGCTTAGAGCCCTAGCTCTACAGCTCTAGACCTAGGCATCGTACGATGCTTATCTCTAGGACTCTTTCACTCTTCTGGGCTTAGCCCTTATGGCTCCCAATACCTGTATATATAGTCCTCCTTTTAATACCCTATATAGCTCTTCACTTGTAGATTCTAAGTACACAATCGGAGTCCTGTTTATACCCTTTTGGTCACATTACATCACAGGTATTGGTTGGAATGTATATTAGAATGAAAAAGTAGATGATAAAAGGTTTATATTTAAAAAATACAACAACGAATTTATGTTCCAACTGTTTCATCATCATATTCCTTTCGGGCGTTCCTTGCCTGAGAATGCAATCTCTATCGCAATATCAAATACCCGTTTGGATCAGAAGTGTCTCCGAAATGATATTAATATTGAATCCTTTTATTATTGTTATATTGTTTAGGATAAAATCCTTAGTTTTAGGGCTAGCAGGGTTATTGAATATATTTCTAATGATTTGTATTCCTTTCCCCAAGATTGAAAGAGAATTTGTACTGGTATTTATTTGGTTATTTGGTTAGGCTTTTACAAAAATGCCTGATTCAATGAATTTCTTGTTATTTATAAAATGAATTGTTCTACAATTGTTTAAAAGAGTTGAATCAGAAAGAAGATACTTTGAATATTTCAAGGTAGAATACATTGGAAAAGAGAGATTATCAAAAAGCTCTGGACTGAAAAAGACCGCGACAATTGATCCAGATTCTGTATAGAATCCATTCTTTTTTTGGAATTTGTTTTCCTCTTCTTTAATATAAGTTTTAATTTATTCTTTAGATCTTATTTCAATATATTTATTTTTGTATTCTATAGTTCAAATATGGTTATAGATTTATTAGTATACTTAAACAATAGAAATACTTCCGAATGGTATTGGGTCAGCTTTTTTAGTTAAAACATATTTTATAATTCTATAATCTATATAGGACTATTTATAGGTTTATGTATATTTCTGTTTATAAGAGTAATAGTTAAGGATAGGGATAAAACAGTTTTCATTATTTATATCAAAACATTTACCGCTAGTATAGGTATTATTGATAGTAGTGTATGTTCTCGATGTTTTCCCACTTTTATCCTGATTATTTAATTACTAGTCTTGAATCGTGAAAGTGATAGTAATAACACCAAAAATGTTCCTGTAGTCTTTGAGTAATTGAATTGATTCTGTCTTGTATTATTGGGTTAAGATAGAGTGAAGCTTTGTAATAGTCTATTCGGGTATAAGTCGCTTGCTTATTATTATTAGAAATTCTTTTATAACCAATATTTCTACGATTTCAGAGGTATTATACTTTACAATATAGTAGTATATGTTCTACCAGTTTTTATATCATTTTGTAACTGAAATACAGATTGTTATAGTATTTTCGAATACTTTACAATATTATATATATACTCTCTTTTATATTTCGTCTACAATTGAAACAAACTCTTTCTTAAGTGCTTGTATAAGATCTTAAATAGTTATATTTAGCTTATCTAATGGAATTGTCTTAGATACTCGGAGAAGAGTAGTATTTGATATTATATTGTTAACCCATTAAATAATCGTAACATATACTATTGCCTCTTTTTGCCATTTATCCATTTCGATTCAAAAGACCACAATTTCGAGATTATATATCTAAAATCTCCATTTGGATATCTCTGCCTTCACATCTGTTTTTGGTATTTTGGTAGTAACAATTGTAGGACTCTTGATGATAAGAATAATGGGTTGTTTGAGTTGATATAAAACCAAGGACCCTGTATCGGGTGTGGAAGGATTGATTAGATTCTATATTTCTTTTATTTTGTATTTGTACTCAAGCTTATTCATCTAATTTATCTATTTATTCCAGTAATCAAAAAAGATAGATTTATAATCTTCTTTCTCTTGAAGAATAGATTTCAATTGTTTTTGAGGATTCGTTATTTTTCTGATACAAATGAATACAAATAGATATGAGTTGATAAAGAATAGAAGTAAAGTATAAAAAAGAAAATATAATAGAATATTTATATTTGAAAGATTTGAAGAAATGTAACTCTGGTTTATTTATAGTTTTTTTATATTATAATTGGAGTAGCACAAATATATCAAATACTTATAATAAAGTTACAATTACTTTAAAGGCAAACCGGGTTTATAATTGTAATGAAATCCTAGAGTGTATAAGAAAAGATGGATATCAGTAATAGTAATAAAATCATATAAGAATTGATTGAATTATTGAACTAAATAAGAGGAAAATATTATAGTCTTATATAGTCTGATAGAATGTCTAGCACTCTTTTGCGGAGGTCTAGGCCCCTTCTGTCGCGCCTGACAGTATAACCTTTTGGGCCGATATGGCCGCCCGCGGTGCCGCCCGGCTCCGCTCTCTTTCTTCACAACTACTATATTCTATCGAATTTCACACTTCCTCACCCTATTTCTTCTTTGAAAAAACTATATAAATTAGAGCAAATGAATTCATTGAGAAAAAAGCCTTAATTGTATTAAGAGTTGAAGACTGAACTCACAGTATATTACTTTTCATCTATCCAAAGAATTTCGAGAATATAGGAAAAATAGGGGATATATTGTATAGAAATCATGTTATCCTCTTTCTTCTCATCCCATTCTAAACTCCATAGTTCTACCATAACACTTCGAAAAGATGACTCTCATCTTGCCTATTTTTTCAATTGAAGTCATCCCGCTTATCCTTTAAGCGAGGATTCGGATAGTATAGGACGGGAGTTTCAATGCGCGGGTTCAACTTAGAGGTCGGGGAATTTAAAGTGAGCTTGGTTGGTCAAGAAATAATGTAGGCTGGACAGGATGGTGATCGTGGATTTTGAGCATAGAAAATTATCAACTACAAAGACTAACGTTGGTATAGACTAAAGATGTATTGATAGAGTTGCAACTATTGTCACAGGACTTAACTGGTACATATGATATCGGTTGAATATCTGGCTTTTCGCTTGAATAATAAATAGTAAATCTAGACTTTAGCAATAATAGGGTTAAAGATATTATTATTGTGATGACTATATATAAAAGGCATAGTAATGGAAACAGGGATTTGGGTGATAATACAGGTTCTAATAGTAAATAAATATTTCTGTAGTAGTATTTTGATCTCAAAGTTATATTACTGTTAACAATACAACTCATAGACAGTCTATACTTTTGCAGAGAATAATCGATGCTATTTGACCACAATAATAATTTCTTTATGATGTATATAGAAGATCCAGACAAAACAAGTGGATGTTTGGTCACTCGAATTATATCGATATATGTCACTGGATCATATTAATGTACTGATATGAAACACTCTAAACGCCTAATCGCAACTGATCATGTTATTCTACATTGGTATAATTTAGGTCTAGAATATGTTTTGTGTATGTGGCTCGGACAGATATCACGACATCTCAACGAATCGTGGACTTCATGACGTGCTCGCCAGTGACCATGTCCGTGTGGGAAAATGACTTACGTGCTTGCAATAAATTGGTCCCATTAATCGGTACCTGATCAAAATAACGTGCGATGCTGCCGAAGATCTGCATAATAGGACAATCACGACATTCAAGTTAACTATGCGCAATTACACAACATCCACAAACTGGGTATAGAGTCATTTTGAACCCGAAATCCAAAAACCTATTTGGTTGCAAGACTCCAACCCCTCAAACATTTTATATGCGTTACTTTTTTCGTGATAATTTTACAATCTCCGAACATACTTATTGACAAAATGGCCACACCAAGCACAATCAACTCTGAAAATAGCCTCTACTCGGAATACCATCAAAAGTTTCAATCCACCCCATTGCCCCAAAATGAAGAAGAATGGTTTTCACGAGCATCGGAAATTTCCCAAATCTTTTCCAAGGACGCCGCGCAAAGAGACATTGACAACAAGTCGCCCCACGATGAAGTATCATTGTTAAAATCATCCGGTTTACTCAAACTATTGGGACCAAAGGAATATGGAGGAGGTGGACAGTCCTGGGATGTAGGGTACAAGGCAATCAGGGAAGTAGCTAAAGGTGACGGATCTTTGGGTATGCTCCTTGGGTATCATTTGCTTTGGTCGACGACAGCAAACGTTGTGGGAACAGATGAGCAGAGAAATCGATTGCAAAAGGAGATAATTGAGAATAATTATTTCATTGGAGGTAATTAAATTCACGTCCCAAGGAACTCTACTTTCGAACAGACTGACCAAGGACCAACTAGGTGCCGTCAATCCGCGAGATTCCGATTTAAGCATTAAATCTGATGGTGATCACATTATCTTCAATGGCCAGAAGCACTTCAACACTGGTGGTGTCGTATCTGATATATCAATTCTCGAGGGTGTACTTGAGGGAACTGAAAACCATATCTTCGCCGCGGTGCCAACAAGACAGCAGGGCATTCAATTTGCTGTAAGTGAAAAAGGCAATGATTGTTCCAAATTCATGACTGACATGGACATGGCTAGTACAATTGGAACAACATTGGGCTAAGACTCACCGAATCCGGTGGTGTGAAGATTGAAAATGTTAGAGTTCCATGGACAGATGCTCTGGGTTGGAATGCCGAAACTAAGGAACCTCTTCCTCAAATTCTTGGTGTTCCTTTCGCCACTCTTCTCCTTCCTACTATTCAGTTGAATTTTGCAAACTTTTATATCGGAATCGCTCTCGGCGCTATTGAATCAGCCGCAAAGTATACAACTACACAAACTCGAGCTTGGCCTTTTGGTGGCGACAATAAAGATAGTCCCACAGAAGAATGGTACATTCTCGAGAGGTATGGCACATTCCATGCACATCTTTCAGCAGTCGTAGCTTTAGCAAATTCCGTAGGTAAAAAGGTGGCAGACATATATGCAAAACATCAAGAGAAACGTTCAGTATCTGCAAGGGAGAGAGGAGAATTGGCCGAGGCAGTTGCGGCCGTGAAGGTTGTTTCGACAGATATTGGCTTGAAAGTAACAAGCGGGGTTTTTGAAATGACTGGGGCAAGAGCAACGAGTAGAAAGGTTGGATTGGATCGGTTTTGGCGTGATATTAGGACTCATAGTCTTCATGATCCTGTTGCTTATAAAAAGAGAGAGCTTGGGCGGTGGGCATTGTTAGGAGAAATCCCGGAACCGACTTGGTATACTTAGTTGAGAAGAATACACCAGTAAGAATTGGACATTCGAAAGGAAAAGGATAATTTGCAGAGTCAAATGGTGAAAACGAGAGAATTACTCTAGTAGAAGACCACCATCTGATGCATGTTACAATCTCATTCCAATATGAAGGATCATTATATACAAGGACTTCCTGAATTGAATGCCTGCTTCTGCTTTACAATTGTGAATCTGTAGTGGAATGAACTGGCATTATAGACAACCAGATAGTCCATAAACAAACCGAACAACTTAAATATCTGTAGGGCTTAGAGAGAAGTGATGTGAACTACCATCATGGATCGAGATGTTCGTTGAGAGAACCATGAGACTTCCCAGGATGTATACAACCAGGTGATCGGACGGTATAATTAAGACAATCTACGAACATTTGAATGACAGAACATTAGGAGTTGGATCGTTGTATCAATCTGACAAATGGCGAAGTTTTTCGAACAGGAAGAAAGAATTCGAAAAGGAACAAGTATCACATCAATTACAGGGAATGATGGCTGACTAAGCGGGAATTGTTAGCGTCAGTTCTGTTGACCTTCCATCTCCAAGCCCCTCAATACCAAAACATTTAAACTCCTCCTCAGCACTCATCTATACGCAATCATGACTGTAACCGAGGCTGTGAAGTCCGTAATTGGACTTTCTGGTACTCCATCCACCAGTATGCTTCCCTGCTCCTCTCGATCGAATATCCTTAAAAAAGCAAGCTAATACCCCGTTCAGGCGCAACCCGAGAACAAATGAGCGAAGCCCGATTGCCTATTGCATATCGTGATGGATGTGCAGGTCTATTGATTCCCCTCAATCGTTGTCGGCAGGAGGAGTACTATCTGCCATGGAAGTGTGAGGTGCGTTTGCGGGAGAGAACCGGAATATTGGACCTACCTGGAGAAGGCTGACATTCGGGATTTAAATGAAACAGCAAGAGAGACATTCCTACGAAAAATGCCAATACGATGAATTCAAGAAGAGAGTCGCGAAGATGGACGAATTGAGAGAGGCAAAAGGTGGTGCAAGAAGCAATTGAGTGGATAGATTGATGATTAGGGATAGACGGATGTGTACATATGGCATGGAAATGGAATACATTTTGCAGGATATCGATTTGAACCCGGTACTGAGACGAATATTCGCGATATTACACAAGATGTGTTGGAGAATATGTCTATTAGTATGCCATTTACATGTTCTGCCATGCTTCGTACGTCGACCTAGAAAGCCAGTGCTTCCACATTGACGAGGATTGAATTGGATACTCCTGGACCTATCGGTATTTTTTTTTGGCATACACTCTTCCTACGAGCATACAACACACCTCTGTACTTCTCGTGCAGTAAGAAGGTAACGATACTGGCCAGTTGCATGGGCATCTGCTTTCATACATCAGAAACATCAAGCCTGAGACTTAGTTTTTATCTGTCTATGCAGCTTGGTTGGATCATCCATCATCAATGACAGGATTTTGAGCTACCATGAACTGTTTTGGTGCTCACAAATTAACAGAAACTGGTAGGGAGACGGATATAATAATAAATATCTTTACAGTGTCCATGGTTGGGAGTATTGACTTAGTCTGACTTTCAGTTTTCGCCTTTTTATTAGAACAATGTCGGTCACAAGGGGATGGCGTGAATGAATACTGCAATTTACGACAATAACGATAAGTGGTCTTGCTGCTTCGTTTATCATCAATCTCCTTCCGGTCCTTTATCCAACTACATAACATAATATATTTGTCTGCATTTTTCTATCACGATTTACTGCCAGAAACTACACAAATAATTGCGCAGAGAACTCGACAGGCACATTCATGTATTGTACTTCCTATCTGCCAGCTAGTGCGTGGACTTATTAATGTACGAGTGGTAGATGAGACATTGTGTGTATTGAGTTCGACTTCACGGATATCAGTTAAGTCAAGGGAGAAAAAGTGTAAACATTTTAGAATGATGATATACGGCTGTCAACCTAACCCAATAACTTGAAAGTAGCTTCAGAGTTGTTAAATCCAAATCTCAGCCTATCCAGCATCTCCGATGTTTGACCCCAGGACGGTGAGATCAACGATACTCGGCCAACGCTAATCAACATCCTTACCTCATGCTTTTACTGAGCTGCGTGAACTATGCGAAACCTGCGTCACTGAGTATTTACATCGACTTTTGGCCGATGGTACGAAGACACGAATTCTGTTGAAGACTTTCTTTGATACCGACACTCGAGTATATCGATATATTATCTGATAGACCAAAGAATCCTGTCTAAACTAAACGGTAGTATCAGATTCATTTCTTTATGTTGGCCTCAAAGTCTGCGAAGAACAACATCAATTGTGAAAACCCACTTTACTGCTTGCCAAATCCATTCACGAGGATGCGTTTTATATCTACTTTTGGTAGAGCCAATTTCCTTCAACCGCTTCCATTAGGCATTGCCTTCAGATTACCCTCCAGGTATACAACCCCAGCTTTAACACCATCGACAATATATATCTTTTTGGCATCCTCTGGGCCCAATTCTTCGATGAGTGCTTCCCTGACCATATCATCCATACCTGCCATTCCCGCACATCCCAAACAGATAACGAAACAATCTCTTCCTCCAATCAATCTTTTCACTGCTTCCTTCATTTTGATCCTCACAATCTCGGGGTCAACACTATGAAGCTCACCAGCTGTGAGACCTGTAGTCTCCACTCCTTTGAACCTATCGCATCTCTCTCCCTTTTTGACTCCTAAGAATTTCCTTACACCCTCCGCCAAAGCTTCCTCCCAATATTTTCCCGTACTCACAATCCCAAAACCTTCCTTCTCACTTTCACTACCGCCAAATCTCTGTAAATTACCCTGCGACAACAACCCCAACGACATCATCACACTCGCCTCAAAAATACCCGCAACGTGTACGTTTGGTTTTACTCTCTTCTTGAGCTCCGTAACCAGGGGATGAACACTATAACAAGCTACGAGAATGGCATCGTATTGATCAAGAGTCAAGGTAAGGTCTGAAAGGACGATTTCGGTAGAGAGAAGGGCATCTTCTTCGTTATTGATAGATGGGGGGCTTGGAAGATGAGCTGTGTAAAATGAGATTTGTACCTGAGGAGGATCGTTTATGGTAGACAGTAGAGTATGCAGGCCTTCAGTCATAGACTTGGACGAATTTGGATTTAAGACGAGGAGCTTTTTGTCTGTAAGTCTCTTGGGTATGGAATCGATGGTAGTCATGGTGGTTATGGAAAAGATATTCTTCGAATTTTGTTTCACAAGGGTAGGGTAGGGTAGCTTTCGAACGTTATTTCTTCAAATTTCAATTGCCTTTTCAATAAAGCTAAGGAGATATATATAACCAAAATTATAATAATAAATCAAGAAATCATTCACTTACCTTTTTCTATTTACACTTCGAAGTGTCCAATCATATGTGAGGCGAGGCGGGGAAAAGCTTAATGTAAGCTTCGTTACGGGCATTCATTTCGACCTTAACCGCAACGTCGTCAGAATCCCACCGGCAACACCACAACTCCATCTACTATTTCATACTTAGAATCTACAACTTAAGCTGCCACAGTCTGGAATTATGGCAGAACCACCAATAGGTATTTCAAAATTACTTACGCGTTTAATTATTCATACTAACACCAATCCTATAGTCCTCGATGGAGGAACTGGTTTCCTGAAAGTCGGATATGCAGCTCAGGTATGTGGCATTTTGGCCTAATTATGATTGAAGCTATCTCAATGCTGTATAACTGACTTTTTGTTGCCTGCAGAACTTCCCCGAATTCCAATATCCCTCTATCGTTGGCCGACCAATTCTGCGATCCGAAGAAAAGGGTGATGATGGTATGATAATTAAGGATATCATGTGTGGTGATGAAGCTGCCGCAGCACGAAGCATGCTTCAAATATCATATCCTATGGAAAACGGTATCGTGAAGAAATGGGATGATATGCAACATCTTTGGGACTATACGTTTTACGAGAAAATGAAGGTTGAAACTACGGGCCGGAAGATCCTCTTGACAGAACCGCCAATGAACCCCTTAAAGAACAGAGAACAGATGTGTGAAGTTATGTTTGAGAGGTATCAATTTGGAGGAGTTTATGTGGCCATTCAAGCTGTGCTAGCTTTATATGCCCAAGGTACTTCTAATCTCTTAATTTTGCGATGTGCGGTGTGCGGTAGTTGCGAATACTGATTGTCAACAGGTCTCAGTTCAGGAGTTGTGGTTGATTCCGGAGACGGAGTAACGCATATTGTACCGGTTTACGAATCGGTTGTTCTCAATCACCTCACTCGTCGTCTAGATGTCGCCGGTCGAGATGTCACACGAAACTTAATTGCTCTCTTATTACGTCGCGGATATGCCTTGAACAGAACAGCGGATTTCGAAACTGTTCGACAAATCAAGGAGAAGCTCTGCTATGTCTCGTATGATTTAGAGTTGGATCAACGCTTGAGCGAGGATACAACTGTTCTAGTTGAAAGCTATACTTTACCAGATGGGCGTGTAATCCGTGTTGGTAGCGAACGCTTTGAAGCCCCTGAGTGCCTTTTCCAGCCTCATCTCGTCGATGTTGAGCAACCCGGTATCGCCGAATTCCTTTTCAACACCATTCAAGCCGCGGATGTCGATGTTCGATCCTCACTCTTCAAAGCCATCGTTCTATCCGGTGGTTCATCTATGTATCCTGGTCTACCCTCGCGACTCGAGAAAGAATTAAAACAATTATGGTTGACAAAGGTCCTTGGTGGAAATCCCGAACGCTTGAATAAGTTCAAAGTCCGAATTGAAGATCCTCCTAGGAGGAGACATATGGTTTTCTTGGGAGGAGCAGTTTTGGCCAACATTATGGCTGATAAAGAGAATATGTGGATCACGAAGCAGGAATGGGAGGAGCAAGGCACGAGAGTACTGGAAAAGTTGGGACCTAGATAGGAGTAGAAGAGAGGAGTGGAGTTTTATGGTGGATGGAGTCATTAATGAATATGAATGCATTGCGTGGGATAGCTACTCTTCTATCGTATGAATCAGATTGCTTTTGGTGTAAGGTTATCTGAGTGAAATACATAGCTTGTCATAATAACGCGGTTAATCTCCTTGTGCCAGGTCATAACTTCTGATCATCCAAGTAGGATTGTACAGTTGCGAGATCGCAGAACAAGGCCGTCTACACCGGCTTAGGAGGCTTAGAACTACAGGTTCAACTCATTTGAAAGAGCCTTTTTAACGGTCGGGCTTTCAACAAAATATTTAACATCATTTTGAAGCAAAGGCGCTGCGCTGCGTAGTGAAAAATCCGGGTGAGATATCCGTATTTGCTTGTTAGTTAGTAATAAGATATACTCGAATATAAGCAAGCAATATTCCTTCTGTTTTAGGTTCTATCACCCCTGGTTCTTATATTGCTCTACATTGAACAATACACTCTTAACCGTTATTTCACCTTGACCAATTCGCATACCTAAGCAGCGTGCTGGATATTAGCTCTCTTGGCTCATCAACTGAGTAGAGGTACTCGATATAAACCCCATACATGAGATTCTGCGCTTTCAATTTGGCACCGGTCAACCTAGAAGAATGAGGTGAATCTTGGGCGATGTTGGTTCCTATGACGCTGAGTTTCTCAGGAGTGATAAGGGAGTGAAATGTCATATCGGAGACACAGCCGACGATTCAATGCCCCAGGTCTAACAAATCATCGGTTTATCGCCATTCAAGAAGTCCTTAACGATTACACGATATTCAGATCAACATTCCTGTTAATCGCGTGAAGGTGCATACAATAGATACTTCACTACACATCACAATCAAAGTTCAACGGGAATTTGTGATCTAGAGATATATGGAGAGTTATATGACAAATTCTGGCAACAAATAATACTCCCAAACTTTCAAGACATCAGCTTACACATTTGGCAGATATTTCCGGTCAAGTCTTTCTTAGTAGTCACCCACGATTCTTCGGCGGTTAAAAAGTACCAAGTAAATAGGTCTGCACCATTGGAGGTTCGTGGTATGATATTGGTATTCTGTGAGCAGTTCCTTTTATCGCATTAACAAGCGAAGTATCGAAGAAAGTTGGGACAGTTGAGAGATGTATCTTCCGGAGCATTTACCAGATGGGTGCAGTTTGGCTCTAGTATATGAACCATATACTCTTGAGTAGCGTGTCTCTGATAATGGAAGACTGGGAGATATGATAATCGAAACTAATAATGCCGTCAGCATCAGTTTGTCGGACACCTCCGAGGATGGTGGTCTGTAGGTAATGTTCACTAGCGATACTGACCACCCTATAGTGACCATGCTATGGCTACGAAGGTGATTGGCGGGAAATACAATCACTGTGTAGCACTGACTGGTAAGGCCAAGTGGCTGGGTTGCTCCATAGTTACGATGGGGCCTTGAAGCTGTTTTTCCTGCATATAGACGAGCTATTAGGACCTTTGTTTTGTTTCTTTACCATAGAGCTTAGATCTTAAATTTCATGAGTAGAGAAGCAGAACTGCCGAGATTCTTATGAGCTTCGAAATAAGAAAGGGCTGACATATTCTCCAGCTAGTTGGAGCCTGGAGAATTCAATCACTTTCAAAACTTTGAAAGCTTACTTATTTCTTATTGAATAGTACTGATACGTTAAATGAAATTAAAGTAAAAGATTATTATGAACATAAAGTTCGGTTCATCAAAAAAATGTGGTTCATCATTCAAAAAGACTAATCCTAACACCGTATTCATACCAAGCTCGCTAATACTAATCCAAGAACCTGCTATCCTAATCAATCAACCCTTCTCGTCCTCCCCCAGACTTCATCGGCATCTTTCTTGCCTCTAGTCTCAGGAACTCTCCAACTGACAAATATTCCAGACAACACCGCCAGCGCTGCAAATATGAAATACGCCCAACCTACACCTCCTAATGCTTTGTTTAATCTCGAGTTGATTATCGGAAAGAATTGAGCTACCAAAAACGTAGCGGCATAATTGGCTGCCAAGCCTACACTTTGCGTTGCACCGACAGCCTCCGGACCAACAAATTCTGAAGCCATCATGAAGGGAACCGGTCCAAGACCCGTTGCGAAAAAGGTCACGAAGAGAATGACGGATATAGCAGAGAGAATTTTCAATTCCCAACGAAGAGAAAGGGCCAATGCGAGGGACATTGTCCCCATACCAGTTATGGAAAGGAGAAGGCATGCTTTTCGGCCAATTTTGTCGGCTAAGGGTGCACAAGCGATGGTTGCGACCAGGTTGACGACCGAAATCAGGATTGTAATGATGGATGAAGAGACAGGAAGAAGACCAGAAAGGAGTGATACAGAGTACATGATGATACTGTTGATTCCGCAAAGTTGTTGGGCAAACATGATACCAATGACGGCGATGACTGCAGGTTGATAAAGTGGGTCTCTGATGACTTGAAAGAACCCGACATTTTGTGCTGTTGTTTTGCTAGTAATAGAATCTCTTCGGTTGAGCTCTGGGTCAAGTAGAAGACGCTCTTCTTCTAATTCTGATGTTTTGATATCCCAATCTTCAATCTCTTCCGTGATTGAGGAACCATGTCCTCGAATTCGCTGAAGTGTTCTCACAGCCTTTTGAGAGTCTTTGTGTGCGGCAAGCCATGTTGGACTTTCTGGAATGAATAGAAGCCCAATCCCTTGTAACAACCCAAGTCCTGCTCCGACTGCCAGTATGATTCTCCACTTTGATCCTTTACTCAAATAGTAACCTAGGACCTGAGTAAGTAGAATCCCTACATTCGTGGTAATTTGTGTCATGGATCCAAATAATCCCCTTTCTCTTGGTGGTGCAATTTCGGAAATATATATTGGTACAACGACTGTTGAAGCTCCAGCACCGATACCTGAAAAGAATCTGCCAACAGACATCATTGTAACTGTGCCCGCAAAGATTTCCAGAATTGAGCCTAAGATAAAACAAACACTTGTAATTCTCATAGCAAACAATCTACCATAACTCGTCGACACGGCACCTGAACCCAAAGCTCCCAGCAATCCACCAAGAACGAAGAGAGATGAGAGGGCGGCGAATTCGGTTTCGGTCATAGGTATACATTGTGGGAGTGAGAAGTTAAATGTCGAATCGGAAACACTTTGTTTCTTACATGTAATAATATCCTGAGGTGCATTTAATTCAGACTTGAAAAGATGTTAGCATTTGCTGGCAGTATATGTTAATGTGTGCCATTCTCTGTCAGTACTGTATGGAGTTATTAATATCACATACCAAATGAAAGCCAAATTGTAAGGGTCCAAGGGTCGATATGAAGACTAGAAGAAGCAAATATGGAGTAATATCCTGTATACATTGTTTGATGCCTCCTGAAGCCATTTTGAACTCCAAAATGTGGGAGAGAGATGAAAGTCTGTGTCTTGATCTTTCTCAAGTCTGGAATGAATGCTGGTGGTTGTTGTCAAACATACCACAGGAGACCAGGATGAGACAATGAAACGTCATGAATTATGAAGCCATTTATGATATTTCATTATATTCTGACCAATGATAGATTGCCCTCGGTCGGGCTGTTATCACTTCTCTTATTATCGATAAGGAAGCTATCTTGACAGCAACAACAACAAAGGCTCTACAAGTAAATGATCGGGTGTGAAACAAACATTCATTCATCAACCATTCTCAATTTCATATCCTCTACCATCTATCTCCAAATCTATTCCTCAACCATACCATTTCCTAGCTTTCTACCCGCTTACCCCCTTTTCCCCCTTTATTGATTATCACCTCATTTCACTATCTGAGCTCCTCGATTCATTTGACCTCTACCGGTATACCTACTCAATTGTATATCACGACCCACACGCGGCACTGCCTTCAACGCCAAAACTGTCAAATCTTTCATCTTCCAAAGAAGTTAGGACAGATCTTACCGTTACTTGGCTCACCCGCTGATTCATAAGGTTTTCCCCTCATCATATTGTCTCATCTGACCACTATCTCCGAGCCTCACCCCTAGCTTCTTCCTCGTCCCCCCTCCTCTCCCCATCTTTGAATACCGTATTCCTTGAGGTACACGCCAATATACTCAGAAACGTAGGTCGGCCAGTCATCACGTATGACCTATCATCGTTATATCGAATCACCGCAGATATTAGCAGTCATCATTCGATCACGACTCGGGGAGGATTTCTCATATCATATCACAACACAGCACATCGCATGCGCTTCAAGTTATCTCTTTCGTTTAGGTCATCTGAAATTGTCTCTTATCATCCGAGATACATGAATTTGATCGGGCGACATATGTCTCGACCTTCCATGCTGTCACTAAGACCTTAACTTACAATTTTCCTATTCTGGAACTTTGATATCAAGTGTGTCTGTTGTACGTTTCGTACTATACCTTGTACCGACTTACATACATACACACGGCCAGCTACCCTTTACGCGGCAATATGAACCCGGACGCGAAGTTAATTTCTAGGGGACTCTTGACACGCTTGATGTAACCAACTACACTTACAGTCTTGCATCTGCGCTGCGTTGCACTTCACTGCATCTCTACTGCATCTTACCGACCCTGCACTACTGCAACTGCAAAGCACTATTGCGCTGCCTGCACAGCTCACAAGCGTATTTTGAAATCTTCCTATTGCTATTCCCCTTGTTTTGCCCACTCAAGCTTGTCTAAGATTGTCTTGGTTAGGGGATTTACGGATTGTTATTCCCACTGATCTTGCATACTAATCAAACAACCAAGCCAAAGTACGCCGCCCCCGCCGCGCACATACACACGCATATCCACAATAACAATAATGAGCCTGACTTCTAATCCACCGTCATCCGGCGGTGGTCCATCATCTATTTCCGCATCTAGAACTCAAATAAAAAGATCTGTTCAAGCTGTTTTTGAAGGTAATGTAAATTTTGACTTATTTGAGGTTAAATTGCTATTTTGTTTTCGTCTTTCCTCATCATCTTGCCATTTCCTGTAAAGCCTAATCAATCATTGATCGGCAACCTCATTATTATATTAGCTCTTTCTATTATGGCATGAAATCTCTGTCCTCTTTCTTCACCAATTATCGGATCATTATCTTAATTATCTCATTCATTATTTTCAATTGTCCCCTTACAAATATATCACTATGTATCCTACAAGAAGACCTCCTCCATTTTATCCTCCTAGTTCGTTATTATCCTACTTTGATTAGGCTATACAAGTCTAACTAACACGACCCCAGGTACAGCCGAAAGAAACAGTCTAGGATATCAGAGTAAAGTTCGAGTTGTTGATCAATACAAAGTTATTGGTTTCATCAGTTCTGGTACATATGGACGAGTTTATAAAGCCGTTGGACGAGATGGGCGACCGGGGGAATTCGCCATCAAGAAGTTCAAGCCGGGTAATTACAAATATAATCATATCATCACTGTTATGCATATGCTAATAAATCTTAGATAAGGAAGGAGAACAAATCCAATATACGGGTATATCTCAATCAGCAGTTCGAGAGATGGCACTCTGTTCTGAATTAAGTCACATGAATGTCATCCGTCTCGTTGAGATTATTCTCGAAGACAAATGTATCTTCATGGTTTTCGAATATGCCGAACATGACCTTCTCCAGATTATCCATCATCACACCCAACCTACTCGCCATCCTATCCCCCCTCCGACTGTCAAATCCATAATATTTCAACTTCTCAATGGCTGTCAATATCTTCACGCCAATTGGGTACTCCACCGTGATCTCAAACCTGCAAATATCATGGTATCTTCCTCGGGTGAAGTGAAAATTGGTGATCTAGGTCTTGCTCGCCTTTTCAATAAACCATTGCATTCCCTCTTCTCGGGTGACAAAGTTGTCGTCACGATCTGGTATCGAGCTCCCGAACTCTTATTGGGTTCAAAGCATTACACTCCAGCAATCGATATGTGGGCTATTGGCTGTATCTTTGCAGAACTACTATCTCTGAGGCCAATCTTCAAAGGCGAAGAAGCGAAAATGGATAGTAAAAAAACGGTACCCTTCCAGAGAAACCAAATGCAAAAGATTGTTGATATAATGGGATTACCTACCAAGGAGAGATGGCCACATTTGGTACATATGCCGGAATACTCACAACTTTCCACTCTTTCGGCAAATGGACATGCAAAAGCTGGATACTCGAGTCTAGAAAAATGGTATTATCAAACTATAAATGCTTCTTCCACGTCTGTCCCGGTGTCGAATTTGAACCTAGGTGCTGAAGGGTATAAATTGTTAAGCAGTTTACTGGAATATGACCCTGAGAAACGATTAACAGCACAAGCGGCATTAACACATCCATTTTTCAGTACGGGGGATAAAGTTAGTGCCAACGTTTTTGAGGGGGTCAAGACGGAGTATCCGCATAGGAGGGTTAGTCAGGATGACAATGATATCCGGACTGGGAGTTTGCCTGGCACAAAGAGGAGTGGATTGCCGGACGATTCAAGACCTGCAAAACGATTGAAGGAATAAGGGTTGCAACGTCAATAAAACTATACAGGATATCAATCTCCAAAATAATAGATTTCGAAGAGTGGTAAAACCACGGAAAAGTTGCACAGCCACGCGATTTTAGGAGGGATCCCCGAGCGAGCAGTTTGTTGACATGAATTGATATATTCATATCGAACTAGATTCCAGAGATTCTGCATAATGGTTATCAAAGCTTCGAATTTTTGTTGTGAGAATCGTAATGTCGAAAGATTGAATGCAGCAGACATGAGTAAAGTTCATCCATTCAATTACAACACTTACTATTTGTCTTATTCTTTTGGCTTCGTGTTTCAGATGTGGTTTGGTTAAGTTGATCTCGTCCTGAAGGGGCTGTCGCCGTAAGAGCTGCCGATCTTGATGACTTCCAAGAACCTTTTGGGCAACCATCCTGATTATCCACAACAGTCCACAACACTCCACAACATTCGATGGAATTACCTCTCACAAGTTCTACCCTACCTCGCTCTCTTTAGATTCAAATCAGAAACCGCCAAAATGCGCCGACCCTACCTCTCCATTCGCACATTATCTTCTCACGTTCGTTGCAACCCCATATACGAAGAGACCGAAGCCAAAAAAGCCGAAGCAAACAAGAAACCCGCGACTGGCATTACAAAAAAGCGCTTTTCTTTCCCATGCCTTCCATTCTTCGGTATGGATAAAAAGAACGAATATCTCAACATTGAAGAAGACTATGATTAATACCGTTCCAATTCCGGGGCCAATAGAACCAACCCATTTCTCGACCCCCTCGACCCTATCGACTACCCACAAAAGAAGAAGAAGAAAGCAAAACCCTCCAAAGCTATCAATATCAACAAAAACAACAACAACAAAGAGTCCTAGCAGAAACGTGAAAAGGCCAAGGGAAAGCAGGTCACAGAACAGCAGGAAGAAGAAACCAAGGAGCGGGAAAGGGCTAAAACAGAAGGAGAACCTGCTTTTTGGGATGCATGGGCAAAGAAAGTCCTAGTCGTTTGGGGGTGAGAGATTTGGGGGAACGATCTTGGTAGATGCAAGTGGAGTGAGGATGCCGGGTTTTAGATGTTAGGGTCCTTGTGGATTGTCATGTGGGTTATGAACAGTCTATCGTTGATCGCTGATGGAATGAATTTGTAAGTATTGGGTGATTGATGACGTGCTGGGAAAGGCGTGGAGGATTGTTATGGTGAGTGTAGGTAGTTGATGTGGGATGCGTTGGTATGGGTACAATCATCGACAATATAGACTATAGATTATAAACTATGAGGAAAGCATCCATCCGCAGCAACAAAAATATCAGACAATTGTGACCATGCCTCATATTTCCTAATCAAAAAAGGTGGGTTGGAAGTTACGATGCCAAATGTCAAATGAGCATTTGCACTATAGCTAAAATTACAAGGCTTTCGGGTTTGTGTGTATGGTTGTGTTCTCTTTCATCTCCCGTAATCTCCCAATCTCCAAATTGTGCTCCGTTCTGCCTTTCCACTTTCTCGTTTTCTCCTCATCAACTTGGATCGGTTTGCCCCTTCGTCGCTCGCTTAATATTACAACCTTCTTGTTTGACTTCCCTTCCTCCGATTTATTTTCCCCTTTCTCATGTAGGCACCTTACACTAGTTTGCCTATCCTCATCGCGTCACGTTGGGGAAGAAATGAAACAAGAAAGAATCAAAAAGTTTATTAAGAGATAAAAGAAAAACTCTTGGTATCGCCCGCCATCGCCGTCGCCGTAGGTAACGTAAATACAAACAACCTCACCACAAAAAACAACGCAATACGTGCGCATGCATACATGCGCAAGCAAAATAAACAAAGAGAGATGGGAGAGGGGGGACTCCGTAGATAAGATGATGAGGTGTAAACGAAGATACGCTGGTGGAATTAACGAGGACAGAAATAAGGAGCCGTTGTGGAATTCAAGGTCGTAAATGAGTAGATGTGACTTCAAAGTCTTGGTACGACATGCTACTGGTAGCCAATTATTTTATGTACGATTCGTGAAGGGGTGTATTTGTAGGATGTAGATATGTCGTGCAGTCTGAGGTACAAGGTGGCGACAGGGCGAAAATAGCGAGAAACCCCAATTATGTGCCATAGTCGGGATAGTAGAATAGATCTATCACTTTGCTTGTGGAGCAGGTCTTCCTTCGATTGTTTTCGAGAGCCAGGCCTAGAATAGAATGTTAGTTTGGTCTCAGAATCAACTACGATACACACCAAAGCATGAAATAAAATCACGGAAACATACCAATCCTTCCATTAACCCTTCACCAGAAGTGGCACAACTTGGTACAACAAACCAGACCTTATTCCTCAAATCATTCAACTTCAGTTGTTCTGTGACCTCGGGTGGTTTCATGGCTGCTCAAGTGTCAGCTACCTACTTACAATGGAATGCAACCATTGGATTCGAGTACATACCTCCTGCAATATCTTGCTTATTGGCGAAAACTAAGAGCAATGAATCTTGCATTTCTCTGTCGTTGATAATGCGATGTAACTCTTGTTGCGCCTCTGCTATTCGTGCTCTATCGCTGGAATCAATCACAAAGATAAGTCCTTGGGTACCTATAGTTCATCAAATTGGCATTAGCATTTGTTAAACTTATCGTTTTCCATACCAATCCTGCTTAGCAGACAATGATGTACGTACCACTGAAGTAATGTCTCCAAAGAGGTCTGATCTTATCTTGTCCACCAACATCCCAGACGTTAAACTTGACATTCTTATAGGTTACTGTCTCGACGTTGAATCCCACAGTAGGAATGGTAGTGACATCCTGACCCAATTTCAATTTGTAAAGAATTGTAGTCTTTCCGGCAGCATCGAGACCCAACATCAACAGCCGCATTTCCTTGGACCCGAAGATCTTGCCCATCATTTTTGAAATAGCTCCTCCCATCTTGACAACTTTTGAATTCGAGGTATGCGTATAGTATGAGTATGAGTATGTATAGTATTTGAGTATGCGCAGTTTGGTTGATAGGATGAGTAGAGATTAGAGAGGATCCACGGAGTGATGTTGATGGGGCGAATTGATATTGGAAAGGAGTGTTTAAGAACCGATTGACTGATGATGGTAAATGGATTGATTCTCTGATGTAAAGAGAGCTGATCAGATCAGATCAGATCAGATCAGATTGATCAAATGAAATAAACAGAAAGATGGCAATGGGTAAGTAGATGGTAGAGATGGTATTATTAGTTTCCCATTCGGATTGATTAAAAGAACAAGGCTGAAACGGTTATTGTTTGTGTACGGTACTAGGTAGAGAGGTAGAGGGTAGGTAGCGGTAGGTATGGAATTGTTTCCTCTTTGTTCTATGCTCTAGAATTATTGAGTCGCGTAATAATGTAATAATAACACTTGTATTACAATTTCATTGATAACTACTAGGTAGCTTATTATTAGTTTGATTCAAAGAGAGGCTAGGATATGAGATATATATATATATATATCACAAAAGTTGAAAATTTGAAGTCATTGATATTTTGAATACCACGAATATTAAAAGTTAATTAAAATATACTAAACAATAGAGACTTAAAGAGGTGGTCTGCCAAATTACATTTACATTACGATTTACAACGATTGCAAGGGACCTAAATCAAGATGCACCAGGTACCATTTTTAGCTATCATAATAAGTCTATTGTTTCATTTTCAGGGGGAAACCTTTTTGATGCTTAGATTTGTCTTATTAGTCTTACCGATAAACGGAGATTTCTCATATATTTTATGAATGACTTGATGATACAGTACTTATCTATCTATGGTCTGTAGTCAGTAAAAATCAGTTTGGGGGCCATATCTTCGGATAATATGATGAGATGAAACATAATTTAAGGGGTACAAAGTCTTACACAAGTCACAGGTATGGAATACAAATATCATATAAAATTACCTACCGATATTGATATATTATTGTACCACCATTCAGATATGCCTTTTCAAAATCACCCTTCCTTCACTTCCATCTTAAGATCAAAATTCGGTACATCAATGAGAGGCGGACTTGAGGCCATTCGGATATTTCCGATATAGTAATACCTTGTACTGAGTACCTGATATCTCAAAAACGCGGATGAGGGATACAGTCTTGATCTCTTCCGAATCATAAAACGTTGAAATTGATTCTTGTATCAGTTTCAACTGCTTATGTACATAATGTACACTGTGTAGCAATACCAAATGACCTTCCCCTAATCAAAAATAATACTCCTGTATGTCACTAGAGTTGTGTTTTGTACACTAGTTCCACGGAGAGTTATATAACCACACCAGAATCCATCTATCTCATATAAAATGCCAACGCCTTGTGGGGTATCCATATCCCAATGCTCCTGTACCAAGAGAGGATCCTTTGTAGTAAGGAAGGAACGCCAGATAAACCACCACCAATGCCGCCAGGGCAATTAAATTACTCATTACTTCAACCGTTTTTATCCCGAATGATCAAGAACAAATCGTCGTTCAACTTCCTTAGTAGAATCCTCATCTCCATCAAAAATTAACCTGACCCTATTACCATCATCAAGCATTGCTCTGACTTCCGCTCGATAGAATGTCGTCGTCTCAGGATAAAGGGCGAGAACGCGCTTTCCAACGTCGTAAGGGCCGAGGGTAGCATCGTAAGGTGGAATTGGACACATAGAAGATGCGGAAGTGAGAAAATCTTTAGGCTGCTTTCCCTCATCGGGAGCGACATCCTCGACCTTGTATCTGCGACTTTTGCCTTCTCCAATAACCTTGGTAACCTTTCCTTGAATCCAATCCGTTTCCGTAGTTGGGAACTCAGGTTTCGGTCTGAATGCTACTTCTTGTCCCTTGGAGAATTCGATCTTCTTTGTACTGCTATTACTAGCACCGGTACCAGTACTAGGCTCTCCATTCTCGTATTTCCTAGGAGTATCTTTCCCTTTGGGCGGTAGACTGCTGGTTCTGCCATTTCCCATCTTCCGAACATGTTTGTTTTCCGCTGGCGAAGGTACAGGGGAGTCCATAGATCCTACATCATCGGTAACACTGGATCTTCCATGAGATTCGCGGGAATTGGAGCCTCGCTCTGCTTCATTGCCTTTAATCAAAGCTAAAAGTATGGAAATCTTTTCTACCGTCTGTCGTATAGCTGCTGATGTAGACTCGGAGAATTTGACGCCATCTCGGATGAATTTACTGAGCTCATCCATTGCGGCGATACCAGGGCCTTTAATCTTATCAACGCCAAATCTTACTGTGGATACACTTCTTACTCACTAATTCCATTATTCAATTGATCGGCTATAGCGGTTTCTTTAGTAATGATGGCATCCGGAATGTCTGCTTCGAATTTTTTCTCTTCGGCTCTGATCTTCGCTAGAGCTTGGGTGATTTCAGTCCATAAGGCTGCTTCTTCACCTCTCTCGTGTGTACCCGAACGAGCTCCACCACGAGCTTGACGTCGACCAGCAGTCGAAGCGGAGGACATATTGTTATTAAACCTAAACCCGTCGTAGTTCTCGAGGTCTCTTATAAGCTTGGGTGTATTAGAATCTCTATCTTTAGACATTTTAGCAACAGGATCTTAAAGCAGATAACAATATACTGGGATTGTGCCAGGAGAATGATATTTAGAGTAAATAAATATTTTATGCCGTCTTGGAACTTTTAAGGAAAAGACCAGATAGATGAGATGATGAGTGCTGATCGCCAATAACTTACATTTGGTTGTGGGTATTATGACCCGCTCCTACTTCAAATGAGGAAAAATCCAAGCGTCTAATAATGGTGTAATAGAAGTTGCAAATCGAAATTGAATTAAAAGTTAAGTAGGTAGTATAATATTAAGATAAAACACACCAACAAAGGGGATGGATAAGAGGGGGGGGGGGGGGGGTTTATACGATAATGTAAATGGCAGGTAAATAGCCGTGAATAGAACAATATGAAGGATAATACGAGTTTTTGAGATTCCTGGGGGTGGATTGGTCCTGGATAGGTTGAGTAGGTAGGGTAATAATATGGAAAACAGATGGAGACAATTATGAGGGGGGGTTTTGGGGGGTGGGGGATTAACTGATTATATCCTTAACTCAAATGAGTGGATGAATGAATTGTATGAATAGAAATGATTTTTGGTTTGTTGTGGGAGAAAATTGATATTGTGTACTAGGTAAGTTATCGGTAACCCCTTTTGGTCAATTTTTGGGGTAAAACTAATAAATTTATAAATGTAGCGGATATGAAAGAAACTACTTCAATTTGTCATTATGATTCATTATTCATGATAGCCCTTCTAATTTTGATGACTTTAGCACTATAAAACCCTAAATGTAATAGGGAAAAAAAAAGTGCCAACTTTGAGTGAATAAATAATAGATTTTAGTCTAATAAACTGTAGAGTTTTCGTTGCATAGATACAAGTTAATAGTCAAAGCAGTGCCAGTGAGCCTTGTCAATGAAGACATATGATTGGTTGGAGGGTAATCTTACTGATCCCGAGGCTGAATGATTTAGCGCGACGCGGGGTTAACCACTGTGTGACGTGAGCCACAACCCATAAGAATTTGTATTCATACGAGTTCGCACCCTTTCAAACACTTTATTATCCATCCATTTTCATTGACAATTCTCAGATCGAAGTAACGAAGAAAAACGATTTGATCAATATCTCACAAAACACACGAAGATACCCCTTCATAATCAACATGCAAGTCCCATTAATTAGACTTCAATGCGGAGTCAATAGCTATGATTGGGGAAAGGTAGGAAGTGATTCAGCAGCTGCAAAGTTTGCTGCTGCTACACCTTCCAATGATTTCTCCATTCAAGAAAAAAAACCATATGCCGAGGTGAGCGTTTTCTACAATCCCTTAGATAGCTTCAAACTCATTCTTCATAGTTGTGGATGGGAACGCATCCTTCAAACCCTTCTAAGGATCTCACCACAAAACGAACACTCCTCGATATTTTTCAAGATAACCAAGCTCTCCTATCCAAAGATATCAGTGATAAGTTCGGTGAAAAGTTACCATTTCTATTCAAAGTCCTCTCGATTGGGAAAGCACTCAGCATTCAAGCGCATCCAAATAAGAAGCTTGCGGAACAACTACATCAAAAGGATAGCAAAAATTACCCAGATGATAATCACAAACCTGAAATGACGATTGCCATTACACCTTTCGATGGGCTCTGCGGATTTAGGCCTCTTACAGAGATCTCACATTTTCTCTCGACGGTTCCATCCTTGAAGAAATTGGTCGGAGAGTCCGCAGTGGAAGAATACCAATCCACGATCAAGGGACAAGAAACATCTGACAGACCGGAGGATGAAGAAAGGAATAAGAAAGCTTTACAAAAGGCATTCACGGCACTAATGAATGCGAAGAAAGAAGATATTGAGAAAGCTAGTAAAGAATTGGTTGCATCGGCGGAAGAAGAGGGCTCAAACTTTGCTGGAGCTGGAGGTCCATCTAATGAAGGACAGGAATTGGCAGATCTCGTCATCAGATTGAACAAACAATTTCCAGAGGACATTGGATTATTCGTACAATTCTTCTTAAATTACATCAAACTCGAGGTCGGAGAGGCAATGTTCTTGAAGGCAGACGACATCCATGCATACTTAAGCGGCGACATCATCGAATGTATGGCTGCAAGCGATAATGTAGTTCGAGCTGGTCTTACACCAAAGTTCAAGGATGTCGATACTTTGACCTCGATGTTGACCTATTCATATGCTCCAATCTCTGAACAAAAGATGGAACCGGTGGATTACCCGTATGCTACTCTCAATGCCACCGCATATTCTTCTGGATCATCGGCCATACTATACGATCCACCAATTATAGAGTTCAGTGTGGTAAAAACCGATCTCAAGAAGAAGGGGGCAAAGGCAACATTCGAACAAATCGCTGGTCCTAGCATTTTCATCTGCACGACTGGAAATGGTAAGATTAGTGTCGGATCCAAGGTCGAGGAAGTTAAACCCGGATATGTTTACTTTGTCGGAGCTACAACAGAAGTGGTACTTGAAGCTGAGGATGAGGATTTCACTACATTCAAGGCATTCTGTGAATTGCAAGGCAAGGAAGATGCGGACGGAAAGGAGAAGCTTTAAATCTTGATTGAGTGGATGGGTATATTCATTTCTATTGAGCAACGACTTCATGAATGGGATAGGGTTTTTTTTCATTGCATATTTGAGATTTCTCCCGCGATTTCTAGAAGCCATGTGGCCATGCCTCTTGAGGCAATCTGTCCGACCGATAGTACGACTTGTGAGTAGTTCCTGTCTAACCGTCTAGCCTAATTCCCTCCAAAAGTCTATCGCAATCTCAAACATTCGATTTTATCTATTTTCATCTCATTCCTTTATCTATGCAGATTAACTATATCCCACCCTTCAAACTTACACTGTTACACTGTTTGTCAAGACTCACAATCATAAGCTTGGATCATCTCTTGCGACTGGCGGGCTTTAAAGCTTAACTTCACTTTCTATCCAACCTGCTATCAGTCACTATCGCCAATTCACTATTCCCCAAAATTGACCAATCATGATTCACTATTATGAGTTCCTCAGACCTTATTGAGAGGTTGACAGCCTGACAGGGTCACAATCAGTCAGGTTAAAATGGATAAGAACTCGGTATTGCCGTCTAAAATTATATGTAGGCTTTGTATGGCACTTATTTGCTCATCGTAACATCAAAGTATCGAAGTATCGAAACGCTTCTTACTATTGTGAAATACATCTAAGATTATTTGAAGAACAATGGAAGTTGATCCAGAACTTTCAATTGGAGGGCATGCTTCCAGAGTCTCTAAGGTTGAACAACATGATGAACAGGAATTGGCGGAGTTTGGATACAAACAAGAGTTGAGAAGAGACTGGGGTCTGATGGACAAGTTTGGGATCTCTTTTAGTATTATCGTGAGTTCTTTTTGTCTGGTATTTTTGGTTGGGGTTTCAACATGAGAATCATTGCTGCTAGAAAAAGTCATCGACCACTCTAATTGTGTCAAGCACGAGTAATACTTCAGATCGTGGACGTCAGATCTAGCAACTTTACTAGGAAGGGTCTTGCTAATCTCTCACCAGTCAGTCATCACTGGAATTACGACACTATTCTCCTACCCATGGTCGAGATCGAGGCTGCTGCACGTTTGGGAATAAACCCTGAAGAGCCTGGTGCGTTGGAGAGAGCGGAATTGGTTGGGAAGGTTGATTTACATAGCGGATTGAAGAGCACAGATTAGAAGTTTGGAAGCCTATGGAAGAGATTGTAAATGATCGTGCAAACGATGGATATGATTCATGTAATGAAGACAAATGAGAGCAAGTCCGATCAAAACACCGAGTCAATGATTTTGCGATCTTACCATGGAAATTGATAATAGTTGTACTCGTACAGAATAGCTATTTGCGTCGTGTGCCGTGTATACATACTCGAGTAATTGGCGACACATCCGAATAACTTCAATTGCTAATGATGTCTCGGAAATGTCTCGGAAAACACTCGTTCGTTCCGGACCATGAAGGAAAATTGATGAGAATAACTGGCAGATAAAATGTGATCTCATCCTCATCATATATTGCATCCGAAGTCAAATGGATTAATACATCTTGGAGTTATATAACAAGCTAGTGTATGCTCACTCAGCTATTCGTAATTCGTAAATTTAAAGCCTTGGACCCGAACTCGGAGGATCGGAACTTTTTGTTATATCACTCACTTCATTCGGTAATCACACAATTACCACAACTACCACTTCAACTTCTTTATGCATCAACAATATACATCAACAACCTTAATTCACATTTATAATACATTTTCTTCGTTAACTCCTCTTATCTTGATGGTTCTTCCTCTCTTTCAAAAATAACTATCCAACTATCTTATCCATTCAAAATGCCAGACCTCAACGCAACAACATCCTCCGCTCGTCCTCAACAATGGCGCAATACCCCTCACGAATCCTCAGATGAAATTCCCTCTCTTCCACCCTTCTATTCACCCCGCCCAATACCCGTCTCTCGCGAAATATCTGAACTTGACTTGACTCAATTAGATATATCCAATCTTTCGCTCAGCCATCCTGTACGCTCTCAATTGGAATCTCCTAATGGAACTTCATCACAACGTTCAGATCACAATGAATCGTTACCCGACCTCGTCTCACCCGCCTTCACACCCCCTTCCACACCCGGCACATCTACACCTATATCTCTCGCGCATCGTCCTGCGAGATCAGTACCTGTAGATTCGAGTACACCGACTGGGGGATGTGGATCCAGAAAGCCAAAGTTGTTAGAGCAATTACCAGACGTTAATTGTATAGTGCGAGCGCGAATTCCCACAACCACGGGGGCGGAAATGTTTTTACATTTATACCAAAACAGTGAGGATAATAAAGAACATCTGGCCATTGTATTCGGGAACCAAATACGAAGTCAAAGTCTGGATGCTGTGCGAAAAGGAGAAACCGAGATGGATAGGCTGATACGTGGCGCATATATGGGAAGATTATTCCCAGGTCGGACAACAAGTAGCCTGCCCACTTCAGCGACAAATGGAAATAAGCAAGAGGAAAAGAGTCAAGCGCCTTTGGTTAGAATTCATTCGGAATGTTATACGGGAGAGACTGTTTGGTCTGCAAGATGTGATTGCGGGGAGCAATTGGATGAGGCGGCAAGATTAATGTCTTTACCTACCTCATCAGGACAAGCCGCTGGCGGGATTATAATTTATTTACGACAAGAGGGAAGAGGCATTGGGCTGGGAGAGAAATTAAAGGCGTATAACTTGCAGGATTTGGGATCAGATACTGTGGAGGCGAATTTACTTCTAAGACATCCGGCAGATGCTAGAAGTTATGGATTAGCCACTGCTATGCTGAAAGACTTGGGGGTTGACGAAATCAAACTCTTAACGAACAATCCAGATAAGATACGAGCAGTAGAGGGGCCGAATAGGGAAGTGGTGGTAAAGGAAAGAGTTGCCATGGTTCCTTTGGCTTGGAGAGGGAAGACTGGTGGGATTAGGAGTCAAGAAGTTGGAGGGTATTTAAAAACCAAGGTCTGTTTTGCTATGAAGCCTATGCGTAACGGATCTGGACTAATACACATTTGTTATAGATTGAGAAGATGGGGCATATGCTTCAAATGAACGAGGCATCATGATAAACCACTTCTGACATACCGACGCCATGTTCCATCGGGACGCGGAGACCACACAATCTTTCACTCTGCAGCGAGACGAAAGTTTTGATTTGCCATGAGCTTCAAATATCATGTTCTGAATATCGCGGGGGTGTAAAATGGCGTTCATTGGTCGCATTGGGATATATGAAACCGCGACATGACCAGAAAAGTCCGAATACTTTTCATTTATATATACCATATGTATTTATTTCTTCAACATACTGGATATAAAGATTTCCAGCCCAGATATAGAGGAGAAAAGCCTATTTCACTTTCACCTACATGCATCTCGTTTCGATGACAATTAGTGCTGACTTCAAGCGAAAAGCCCCTTTACCTTTACAACCACCCCCCATCCCCTTCCCCTCCCCTTTGTCATTTCACTCCAACTCCAATCATTCATCTTTTTATTCCACGCACGAGTCATCATTTGGTACAATAAAATCAATCCCCAAGCAAGTTTGGCTACCGGAATCATTATCGAGAAACTTTTAAAACTACTCATGCCGCCAGAAAGTCCGCAACTCGGGAGACTAAGTGGGCTACTAAAAGAACTAAAAGATTTATGAATATTATTGGTTAAATAGTCTCCTTCTTGAGGGGGTTTAGATTATCGATTAGCCTCTCTTTTAGTATATGCGGGAGTACCCGAATTGCGGACTTTCTGACATGAGTACTAATGACAATGGAGAAACCCCACAGCTAGTGCAAAATGCCGAAAATGCCGAAAATTGTAAATTTAAACTTTAAGGAAAACTTTAAGGAAAACTTATGCCGCGAAAGTCTGCAACTTGGGTAAGCCAAGCACGTACCAGTAACCCAAACAGTAATGCCATAATGACAAACTACAAGGGAGTAACCTAATTTTTTAACTTCCAACTTCCCGAGTTGCGGACTTTACGACGACATGAGCCGCTCCAATCTTCATGTGGCTCCACGACATGAGCCGCTCAAACCTTCATATGGCTCCACGACATGAGCCGCTCCAACCTTCATGTGACTCCACGACATGAGCCGCTCCGACCTTCATGTGACTCCACGACATGAGCCGCTCCGACCTTCATGTAGCTCCACCATCACCATTCGACTACTGTTCCAGGGATTTTGTAGGCCCTTTTCTCCCAGTTGTTGTCCTTGATTTCCAATGACCTTGATGATGTTGAAATGCAATTGAGGGAAAACGCTCCACACGATTGGAAATCAGAATCTTGCTCAGAAATGTTCCTGGTCATGTACCTACTTGAGCTCCGGTATCATTGCTTGGGAGCGATGTTTGGAAATGATAAAAGAAGCTCTCCCGAAACCCTTGATGAGAAATCCCATCAATACCACATTCTTCTATCGCTTATACCGAAAGTACATCGTCATAAAATACCAACAAAATGTCTGCCAGATACGAATCATCCAGCTCTGACGCCTCTCCTCTAGGAAAACCCCTCAAATATGAGTTTTCCGGCAAAGTCGCACAAAACAGATTCTTGAAGGGAGCCATGACCGAACGCCTATCATCATGGGACCCAAAAGACTTCAAGGCTAGAGGAATTCCTTCCTTGGACCTCATCAATCTTTACAAGAGATGGGGCGAGGGAGAATACGGGCAGATTTTGACCGGAAACTTCATGATTGAATACGATCATTTGGAAGCCATGGGTAATCCAATCATTCCATTGGAGGCTCCATTTGAGGGCGAAAGATTCGAGCGATTTGCAGCAATGGCAAAGGCAGGAAAAGCTCATGGAAGTTTGATGGTTGCACAAGTAGGTCACCCTGGACGACAGGCCCTAAGTCAGGTCCAAGCATATCCTATTTCTGCTAGTGATATTCAATTAAAAGGTTCGTCTAGCTCTCTTTTCCACTCACTGAGATATCGCCCTCTTGCATTGGTCAAGTTTATACTGACGAAAATGAACAAACAGGAACCTTGGGCATGACTTTCAACAAACCCCGCCCGGCAACACAAGAAGACATCAACGGCATAGTGGACAAATTCGCCCATGCAGCAGAATATCTCGAGAAAGCTGGTTATGATGGTATCCAACTCCACTGCGCACATGGTTACCTCCTCGCACAATTCCTCTCCAATACTACAAACAAGAGAACAGACAAATATGGTGGACCTCTTGAGAACCGATTCCGAATCATCCAAGAAATTTCGGACGAAATTCGAAAGAGGGTCAAGTCAGATTTCATTGTTGGTATCAAGATGAACAGTGTGGAATTTCAGGAAGATGGGTTCACACCTGAAGATGCTAAGGCTACGTGTCAAGCACTTGAGGGTGCAAGATTCGATTACGTGGAGCTCTCTGGTGGAACATATCAAGAACTCGGCTTTGCTCACAAGCGTGAATCGACCAAGAAGAGAGAAAACTTCTTTTTGGAATTCGCCGAGGAGATTGTCAAGCCTTTGACCAAGACAAAGACATATGTTACCGGTGGATTTAAGACTGTGGGTGCCATGGTTGCCGCTTTGGATACCGTTGATGGTGTTGGGGTTGCAAGATCCACTGCACAAGAGGTCAAACTTGCTAAGGACATCTTGGAAGGAAGATATACTGGTGTTAAGAAAATGGGCCTAGATGATGATGATTTCATGCTCACTGCCGATGCGTCTGGAACTCAGATGAAACAGGTTGGGATGGATCAAGAACCTCTTGATTTGAGTATTGAGGAGAATGTAGAGCTCTTCGTAAAAGCAACTGAGGTTTGGCGTGTGAAGAGGGCTGAGGATAAGGAGCTGAAGGAGTATGGGTTCATGGCTTGGACAGAGAGTGCTCACCCATATGTATGCTAAAGAAATGATGTTGGGTATTATAGTCTAGCGTGTGCACTGACCCTCCGTATGTCATGTGATTTTGATCACTGCCCCCTGGAGGGTCTAGTAGTTAGCCAAGTTCTAAATCGCGTTAGGTCGATGTAGTTATCAATCATTTTTTGAGATTCTTTTGAGTACACAAACCTTAATACTTTTTAATTTTTATAGATATCCAGATCAATACCCGAATCGTCAAAATGGCGTATACCAGAATTTTAATTTAAGACTTCAGCGTTAATCAAAACTCCATTTCCTTCAGAGCATAACCGTATGGCAATCCCAGAGCTCCTCCCTATAAATATCGTCCAAAAAACCTCCTAGTAGCAATTAAACAAGCAGGTACGAGTGTATTAACCACACTGTTTAATTCTAGCTACCATAAATCATAAGCAGGCAGGATAACTCTAAATACACGGCATACGCAGACGCCTCTCTAAAATATCGTGTGGTGCTAGCTATCTAAGGAAGATGGGGTGAAAGGAAATTCAATGTTGCGGTAGTGCTGCCGCTCCGATGATGCAACCTCTCGGGATATACTGTCAATTAATCAGTACTGTTATCATTTAAACTAACTTGATTCTTGGAACGTGGTAGGCTTCCCCTACGCTGATTATTTGGTATGAATTTGAGGTATTGCTGTAGACATCAAAGTTGAAGAGCTCATAGTCATCCTGAGGGCCTTGAATTAAGAGAAGAGTGTTTTAATTCTGGTTTGGCCTCATCCTTCCTTGGGCTTTGAGTAGAACATATGTCCATACAAGTTACATTCGTAAAGAGATCTCGATAATACATGGATACTGTGAACGTGGTTTGCCGTATGTTCATATGCTCTATGTAATATTCACAATTAGGTCCAGATGTACTCTCCTCTCGGCGTGCACTCTAGCTATTCAATTCCTCCCCTTCTCTTTCAAATGACGGTTCTCTACCAATACTGGCGGGTATAAATCTATTGATATAACATGTTGGACTACAGTTTATGAGATCCATTCCTCCTTCCGTGGAATGGCCATATCTTGTTTTTGAGTCTCTCCTGACCAGGAAAGACTCAGAAATATCAACCACATACCCGAAAATCTAAACATTTGCCCCATCCCCATGTGGTAAATGCCAGAGAATTTCATTGGTTTCTCCACATGAATATCTCTTGGCATGCCACCATAATCAAGTATACCACGATTATGCCAAGAATCGATATCCTCCTCCGCCTGAAAAGCATCCTTTCTCCGCCTTTCCCCTTCCTTGCCTCCTAAACACTTCAAGGTTTCCAGCTTCCCTAGTGTCTTTCATAACTCCCAATCACTGCAAACTCCCCGCGTCTCTTTAACCTTTCCATTTCCTATTTTCCGTGTCGCGTTTTCTGAATTTCCTCATCTGACCAGAATCCCCCATAACCCCAATTCACATACTATCCATAACATTCTCCATCTTGACTCAGCTTCACTCCAATTCAGCAGGGGCAATCGAAAAGAATTTACTCTGCTTTTTCGGAATTCCTTCGAACTGTTTCGAATATAAACATGTCCTACTCATCATCACTGGGTTCTCCCATGGTCTCGCTGGAAGCGTGTCGTAATGGCAACGCCATAAACTCAACCCCACGGCATGTCCCAAATGAATCCCACCATCCCCCTTGAAATATTGTATAATCACGTTCCGTGCGGTTTCCGCATTTAAGAAGCCCATTTGCTTAACAAAACCCAATGGTATCAGAGCTTTCATTTTTTCTTTTTCCAAATTCTCCATCCCAAGCTGTATTTCTTCATTCTCAAGTTTTCCGAAAGTCTTTAAGAAATGTTCGCGAAGTTGATGCATCGCCGATCCTTTTGCAAAACTTAGAACAATCAAATGATGATTCACCTGTGGCGGCTGAAGTGAGGTCTTCTTTTGATAATCATCTTGTTGCAGACCAGCTGTCCCGATTCGGGGATCTTTTTGTACAGAAAGATTGCTTGATGGACCGACATTGAAAAGTGGTGAAGAATTATTACAAAGTTCATCGATGGCGTCTTTGTACAATTTTAAATAGAAAAGCCGATCAGGTAATGGATCTACAATATCGAATCGAGTATCCGAAAATTTTCCCCATGGATGAAGAAATTTATTCTTTAAAGTATTGCGAAAATCTGTTGCTTCGTGTCCCATATCAAGTGTTAAGACCAATCGACCCTTCTGTCTGAAGTAATGTGCCCACTCTGCTTTACTACGAGGATGTTCTTTGGTTCCGGTTGGTACAAATTTTAAGACAGAATTGGGTTCTGGTTTTCGAATGATGCGAGATGGTAGAGGAAGAAGATTTCCTTTTCCTCGTTTAGACAACGTAACAGGGCTATGGATAGCTTGTCTAATGCTCGAAGGCGATGACATAGCGACCTAGTGCTAAACTCCTCAGGAATGTACCGCCCAAGACAGAGAGGAAATACCCGATATTCAGTGTCGTCGATGATGTTGCTGTGGATGTAATGGTGGATGTTATTTAACTAATAAGAGTTGATTATATAATACAACATGAAAATTGAGATAAAATCAAAGTAGATATCACGTGACCGTCATTATCCGGCTACAGCAAGTCATCATCTCAAGATTTTCAGGGGTGAATCCTTCAGCTTTCCTCTGACTAGACACCAGATAACCAGATATAATACCAAGTGGGATTACCTACCGGTAGACATTATTTCAATTTATTACACCATTATCCATTATCATCGACAACAACATTATCTAGGCGATGTGTAAGGTTACCACTCCATTCAATATTTGGAGTTGTAGTAGCAGTCTTCCACCATTCAAATATTGAGAGTAGTTATAATATCATCCATCAGTCATGGAAGAAAGGGAATTGGATGAAAGGGATGAAACTAATGACTATGAGCTTATGAGAAGAGATGAGGAAGAGGGATTAAAAGAAAATCCAGTCCACCAGGAAAGTGGAAGATGGAGACGAAAATGGCGAGTTATTAATCCATGGTATGTAAACTTATGACTCTTGAGTTTTGTCTTGAGTCTCAATTAAATAGGGCATAGGCTGAGTTTAACAACATAGGATTTGGATCAGTTTTAGTATTTGGTCTATACTTACAGCGAGGAGACTATTGACCACTGATTTTCGTAAGGTTTTTGTACTTGATCTTTTGGGGTTGAACCGAGCTAATAGTATATTTTTCAGGATACCGTGAGTTTAATACCTAGAAGTACTATACGGCTACCTTTTCTAATCATATAACTTGCTCATTGTTAGCAATATGTTTCCTTATTTTATTGCAAATCGCTGCATACTTTCCCTTGAGCATATTAGCGGTCTTGATAAGTTTTGTCGATTATTTTACCAGCCTTCCAGATCTAAGCCCTAGTCGAGGTCCGTCATTTTTACAAGGCCTCTTCATTTTTACTAGATATTGCCTCACAGTGGTCATTTCAATGATAGCTTTGATGTACAGTGCGGAAGCTATTATGTATTTTAACAATTTGGCTGTATTTTCTACATTATTAGTATGTAGACTATCCCCCATTTGTATTGTTCCTTTCTAATGTCTTGAAAGATTCTCACATACGCGTTTGATGCTTTGCTATTTAATCTAGCATATGATTTGCGATTACTTCCTCGAGACCAAGGCTTGGACAGAACCATCGTTGCCTGGGCTCTCTGTATACTTTGTCTTACTTTGGCAATTATCTACAACGATTATCGACTCAACATGGAAGCTCTTTTATTTGCCGTACTCGGTATGTTTCTTGTCAGTCTCGCAAGGACGATAGCGGCGATTGGATATCGATCACCATCTACCAAAAAACCCTCCTATGGAGCCTCATTCTATTTCATGCTTTGGGGTGGGCTGCCTCCTTGTTTATTGATCACCGTTTATGCTGCCTACAAATATGAAGATATTGGGAAAGCATTCTCCATTCTTCGAACTTGGAATTTCTCGACTTTCATGAGAAATCTGGCACCTGGAGCATTGACTCATGTTCTTTGGAATACTCCTCTACGATCCACACTGGCACTCTCTATCAATTCGAGGTCACCTTATGAAACGACCGAAGAAAATGCACCAGACGCAATTGATGCGACACTCCACCTATCTTTGGGACTCATGCTCATGAGTACACTCGAGGAAGAAAATGCTATGGATGCTTTGCAAATCTTTCTATTCATGCTTATCTATGTTGTTAGCATGGGCCCGAAAGAAATCAGTCTATATATTCCTAAATTTATAAATTTCGTCTACACAATACGACGAAAATCCGGAATACCAACTCGAAAGCTCTATCCAATATGGCATAATCCTCTTTTACTTTGGACCACTGCATTTGTCTTCACTATAATGAGTACAATCGGAATACATTACTGGATGGACACAATCTCCATACGACACGATCAGAAATTCTGGACAGGTCCGAAGACTCCATATCTAGACACAATCTACAGAGCAGCAACTAAAAATCGACTTCAAATCGTCATCGCACATTCGGCCCATGAGTCAATTTCCGCCATTGAAGAAATCGTAACTGCAATATTGAGCTCACAGCCTGCTGTCCTGGCACACAAACCAGATGTTTTAATTTATACGAAAGATCCATCAAAAGACATCGTCAAGAAAATCCGAGCAGACGTCGTCTTCGGAGATATTTATCCTCTTCCTAATATTGGAGGTGTATCTGGTATTTTCCTTCATCATATCTTGAAAAATTGGGATAATTTACCTACACAAACACTTTTCCTCACTACTTCTTCACATACGATCAATAGTTTTGATCTCATCGGTCGTCGTTTATTCGATTACTATAACCCCGCGCAACTACCACCAGCGGCGGAGAACTCAGATACATTGACGGGTTTCCTGAACTTGGGAGAAATGGAAACGTGTGATTGTTATGGATGTTATGATAAAAGTGGCTGGAATGATACTTTTAGACTTATACCCAGTATGTGGTCTGCTTCTCGTCCTGTGGAAAAATATCAGGCATCTTATAGATGTAGAAAGGTCATCTTGACACATGGAAATAATTTCATTGCTTCAGCATCGCGCATTAGAGGAATCGAGAAAGATATTTGGGAAACTCTCGATGATGCATTGGCAAATCCTTCATTGAGTAGGGGATGGGCTCATGATAGATTGAAATTGGGGCCAGAAGGAAGGGATACGGAAATGTTTGGTCAGAAAGATAGTTTAGAGATACCACATTTAGGATATACGGTTGAGAGGTTATGGGGAATTTTATTGGGTTGTTCGAATCAGGAGATTGCGTGGAGATGTCCTAATCTGTGGAAGGGGTGGAGGAGAGGTGGGGAGAAGAAGGATTGTGCTTGTATTGATTGAGAGGTTTGTACATGGAAGAGAATTGAGATATTAGAGATTGAATGATGATGATGATGATACTGAGGTAGTGCTCATCTCGTCGAAAGCGATTTAAGATTGTATATCTAAACACCCATATTTCTCCCCATCCGGCTCTATCATCTAGTTGAACAAACACGTGGCATGGGTATGGGTATAGCTGAGAGCTAGCATCGAAATACGTGAATGATGATACATGCACATACGTACCGACGATGAGAGGTATCGGTAACGAGAGTAGGAACAAGGAACAACATTTCTCTAGAAAGACGTCTGTAAAGTTCTTCCCCATCTTATTTTCAACCGGAGTAAAAGATAAACGCAGAATACTCAGCTCGCCACAAGGATCAATCTTACACGGCAAAGAAACTCCTACCAATGCTATTCGGTGATTGCTTACTGCGTTGCGCGAAGCTGATAATCTTTGCTTATGCACTATTTATATTCAGCTGTACATTTTGTTCTATTCCTGAGTACTTGTCTCGATATATTAACCAAGGGATAAATCTGCCACACTCTCTTTAAAAACACCCTGATTTTCCATCTAATCACCTCCTTCATCTTATTGCCCGCAAATCAATATACCCCGTATTCTCATAAACTTCATAAAGCGAATCAATAATAACCCCTCTCCCCGCACGGAATTTTGTTCTCACAATCAGCCAGCTTATAGTAAGAACGTAGGGTGGCTTAGAGATTGTCCATGTAAGATTTACTCTGTCACCTATAAGAGAACCTATTGTTGTCCACAGCTCCATTTCACGGCGGCTTCAAGTTTCACTATTGATTGATATCAGATAGTATGTGGAGACTTTTGATAGCAGTGACAATCAAAAGAATGACTATCCACAACAACAACAACAACAACAACAACAACTCCCTCATCCATCACTCAGTAAAATCCCAAACCCTATCCGAGCATCTCATCCCCTCCAAGCCCTTCGCAGGACCAGACTCAAAACCACGAATCCCACCCAGGAAACCCTGAACAGATATAAAAAATCGCCGCACAAGCCATACCACTCAACTTCGAGTATGTACACTGAAACATATATTTATATCAACCCAAACCCAGAAAAACAAAGTCCAAAGGAAAATAATGAATTGATCAAAAGACCCCCGCCTTCCCCCCCACTCCACCACTCCCCCGATCTATCTGAATATAAATATAAGCCTCCAAACTATCTATCCGATACCACAAACGAACCGAAAGCGGCTGAAAGCATCCAGATCATGGCTGCTTATGCTTACTTGGGTTTTCAAGAATACAGAGGCTGAGGCTGGCTGCTACAGGATTTTTGGTATCACATCCCATCACATCAATAGAGAGTTTCCAACCGTACTTTGAAGAAGGACTTGTATACGGGCTATTAATTCACCACGTACTCGTACTGCGAAAGCAAAAGGACCTGCACTCAAGGCCAGCCGTTTGATATTCACCTCCACTCCGCACTATCTCTCCAAATTCCAAAACATCTAAAAATTCCGCAGACGGAGATATATAAAAAGGGCTAAGGGATATAGATGTAGGTATGTAATAAAACTATAACTATACTTTGTATGCGAGTCCAGTAGCTCGTATGAGTGACTCTGTATTCTCCTTGTTTCCCAAGTGCGCTCATCTCATCGAAGTATATTGCAATATACATACGTATATATACATGTACTTGAAACCATATATATTACGACAACAATGACTGCAATAATAACGACAACAACAACAGCGACGGCGACAACGACAACACCACTACCGCGACCACTTCACTTAACATCACCACTCACCCCTCTCTCACCTAACCAACCACTCAACCAACCACACCATATCATACCACAACCCCCCTCCTCCCCCCCAATCAAAATAGTCTAACCCAACCTCACCCACCACCTCCCATCCCATCCCATCCCATCCCATCCAGTCCCTCAGGTGATCATCTCCTTAGAAATATTCCCATATCCGCTCTCAACATCAACGCCGAACGTCTCAGCTTTAATAAGCAACCGGTATTAAAGTTATCTAAACTAATCTCCATTAGGACTAGACTGCAGGTACCAAAACCCCAACTTTCCTTTAAGAGAAAAACAATGACGCATCTTCAAAAAATCCATTTACCTGCCCTGTTATCTCTCCACTAGGAACTAAAAAAAAGGAGGTGAATAAATGAGATAAACGAGATATTGATGGATGTGAGGTTCGTTATAGCAGAGCATGGCATAGATGATAGCATCACTCACTCACTCACCCACCACTATTCGCTACTCGACAACTCCTCAACCCCATCATCCCCACTATATCATTATCGCAGAAACAGACGGGGCTGAAAATACTGAAGGACGAAAAGAAATCGATGAATCCATATTATGTTCAGAATGCCGGTGCCATGATACTGATTAATATTGATTCAGTGATATCAATATCAATATCGATCAACCTCGCTCTCACTTCACATCTATCCACAAACTCCCTCAATCATGTCTCGATCCTCATCTCATAGCACCTTCACAAAAACACCACTCACATCTCAAACTTCATGCTTTCAATGCCGTGAACCAAAGGTTCTGACCAGTGTCCTTGGCCATCTTTTCATTACTCCTATCCTATGCTATGCAGCAACAATCCCAGGGTATCTATCCATATATTTCTCGTCGCAACATAATTCGCTTTCTTCTCATCAAATCATCCTCATCTCCACCACTCGTTCTCAAGAGACAAGCCCTCATCCTTCATTCCAAACCATTTTTTCCATTACCCCTTCTCTTTCTCCCTACCACAATCAAGGATCCCAAATCCTAGGGCCATAAAACTCCCAATTCGCACACCACATCTACCCTTATTCTCCTCTCACTCAATCCCATTCCCTGTCTCGACATTATATCCCATTCATTCCATCCACCATGGACCTCAGCACAAACGGGATCTATCAAACCACGTTCCCTAAGATCGTCTGGTTCGCATGCGCTTCTTCGGAGGATCTTCCATCCGTTCATAGCTTAGTAGCCCAAGCCTCTGGCCCACAGCACAAATTTCTTCTTGTCGATCCTTGAAGTATTTTCCAGTAGAGGTTCGTTGTACCAATCGATCGAAGAAGTTTTGAATCAGAGGTTCGCTACTCGGAATAATCATCGATTTTTTGCGTTGTGATAGAGATTGTATGTCGTTGATATTTCGAAGGATGGGATCGCTTTGTAGTGATCAATTGACAGGTACAATTTTGAAAGCCTCACTCAAACACAAAACGAGTAAACACGCATGTAGAGAGGTGTTTCCCAGCTGTTGTAATGCTAAACCCAATCCCCAACTCCATGTTGTGATCGATAATTCTAATCGGGTTTTTTCGTTTTCAGGTCTATCACCGTTTATACTTGACTCCATATCGTTTCGAAACTCATACTCAAAACGTCGGACTCATGACCTCATCGACTTCTCTTCCAATGGGTTGTCTCTTGAACCTTTCTCTCACCCTTTCGTAAATAGGAGCTTTAGGTTCTTGAACCTCATAGAGTGGTTTATGTTCCTCGAAGATGTCGTGTAAATCATCGTAATCAACATGCACAAAAGCTCTTTCGACATCCGCCAAGCCTATCTAGTTAGTATCTCCCAGATATGATCATGACAGGATAGACATACCCTCAAGTTTTCTTTGCAAAGTTTGAGAAACATCATGGGTAACTTTTAAAGTTTCCTCTTGTTTCATGATAATGTCAACTTCGACATAATATTTCTCCCCAGCGGAATATGCTCTCGCCTATATTAGGGGTTAGCCTTAATCAAATACCGGAACAGAAACACTTACAGTATCGATCTTCAAGATCCTAGGATCATGTGTAATTGCAACATACACAAGTTTATTCAGAAACTCCTGTGGTGCACTTTGTCCGACCAACAGCCACATATGTTCGAAAGCAGTTGATGCCCAAGAAAACAGAATCAAGCATGCAATAGCAATAGCACCAGCCGGATCCAGGAACCAAACTTTCGCATATTTGGTACCCACGATAGACATGACCAAACCGAAACTGTTGACCACAATATCATTTCGATGATCCAACATGAATATGGCGCAAGTTGGGTAACGCCTCAAGGTAAAACAGTATACGAATAAGACAGCCTTGGAAAAGATGGCAACACCGACACAAACTAAAGGAATGGCTTTGAGGGTATCGTTCTCTTTTGGACCATCTGCCAAACTTCGAGCAGATTCGATGATCAATTCGACGGAGACTGTAGTCATAAGGGCGCAGAAGAGAATGATTCCAACTGTTTCGACTCGCTTTCGACCCTAAGAGAGTGTAAGGCTGATATGCTTACAACCTAATGAAGGAAGTTACTCACAACCGGAAACTTTGTGATATTTGGTTTGGCGGCTATTCGTGAAGTGATTAACATCACAATAGAACTAACCAAGTCCATCTATATATAGAATTAGTATACATCCATTCATTGCCCCCAACCCAAGTTAGAAACTTACAAAAGCATCCGCGGCAGTTGCGAAAAGTGCCAAACTTCCAGTCGACACGGCGGCATATACTTGTATGATAAACAGAAAAAAGTTGACAGTAGAACTAGCATAAATGGCGAACTTGATCTTTCCACCATTTTGTATTCCATCTTCAACCTCTGCAGCCTCTTCATCACTACTCGCCAAATATGCATCGATTAAAGCATTCTGCTTATTGTAAAAACTCTTGATCTTCTTGACATTTCGTGTTCGTTTTTGTCCAGGGTGTTGGGTGCGAAGCGTGGCAATGCTTATATCTTCCTTCTTGAGATCGGTGAGGGAATATGGATCGGCATTGTATGCAGTTTCGGCACTACCATATGACATGATAGGAGTAATGTTTGGAAGAGGATGTATAGGAAGTGTAGAAGTAGGAGATGACCCAACAGAAGGGGAGATCATTGTGTCGAGTTTATTATCATTTGCATGATTGACATTGGTAGGAGATGCCATCTGCGAAGAGAGTGTAAGCCCAATGATCTCCTTGATATTTTTTATCTTCAATTACCTCAATCAGAAGTTTTTCTGCCCACGAGACTTATAACCTTATCACGTTAGACGAAAAAGAAAAAAAGGGTTCTTGTGATGTTTCTTTGTCTTTGTATCTCCCGATATATAGCTAGGTAAAGGAAGAGAAGAGAAGGGTCCTTGTCTCAATCTTGACAACGAATCAGAGTTGTAGGAAACAGAGGCAAAGTAGAATGAATGTTGAGAAGATAAAGGGGTGTTGTTTGTATAAGAGTAAGAAAGGACACATGGATTAAGTTCCGAAAGGAAATTTCGAAGGTAATGGGTGAATATTTATCGAATTCTCATTTTTTTTACCTACTTCCTTCCAGTCTTCCATGTATTATGTATTACTGGGACTATAAATCCAGATGTTTGTGTTATTGAATTCCATGATTTGCCGCCATTTAATTGTGCAAGGGGATCTAATCGCCAAGGCTACATTTTATTGGTTTGTGTTTAACCTGATCTGGTTTAAACATTACACCGCTTTCCAAGAGATCAGATAACAAAAAAGTACAACATGATACATATTGATCGGCACAATGCTTCCTTTTATGGACCCCCTTGTGAAAATAGATATCCCAAGAAAATTAAACTTTTTCTTATATTGTTTGATAATGGCTTGGCTCATTTGTATATCACATTCATCCTTTTTGTTGGGGAAATCTAAGACTTTTGCTAAGGCTTTTGTGATATTCCCAATTCTCAGGTAAGCTAGCATCTAGCATATATCATATAATGATAAACTAACAAGGGACTAACCTAGCTTTTTAAGTTCCTCATGAGTTATCAATTAGACTTATTCAAACATCATGAAGATGGGCCAACCCATGACCCATCTTCATCAGTAGAAGTCTAGAACTGATGGCAGCATTAACTTAACATTGCGATCTGCTCTGTTTGACGTTAGTAACGCATGAAAAGAGAGCAATCAATGACGTATAGGTGGTTCTATATATATACCTATGTTATGTTGTTATAAGGCTGTTTGTTATACAGTACCTGCTTCATTAGCCGATGCATCTGTTCTTTTACCGGTATTACTCTCGTATTACTCTCGTATTACTCTCGTTATTTATATCTTCAAACTACGTCAGCTTTTCTAAGCACAGTCCTGATATCTGATTCCAATCTACCCCGCATCCCATCCTCAATGGAAGTAGAAGTCTTTTAGCAGGAGAGAGTCAAGGTACAACATACTCACGTGGAGTCAGTCTATCAATATCGAAGCTAAGTCTTGGTAATTTGATGATTATTATTGTTCTACTACTTTGTTATTCTACTTTCAACTCTTCTCATTCGCAATCTATCCATCCCCCTCTTTAGTAACTTTGTCATCAATACTTGAATCTAAAATCAAATCTCTTGTTACCATCCTTCTCTCTTGCTACACTGTCATTTTGGTATGCAACCTTTTCCTCAGCCGTCATTTGATCCCAAATCTTCTCCTTTCTCTTGTTCAATAAGATCAAGTACTGCCTCTGTCCTACAAATGCCAGAAGTGACAATACACAGATGGAGATGAGTACCTTATTTCCCTGTTTGTAGTATGGTGCATCATATGAGCGATAAATTTGAGAACCGATCGTGGATCCAATTTGAACGATAACGTTATATGTTGCCGCAGTAATTGCACGCTTTTTGACGTCGAATGTGTTTTCCGAAATCCAAGCAGAAACGATTGGATGGAAATAGGGATCTGATTTGAGGTCAATTGATAGAAATTTTGGAATCTTGCTCAAGCACTTACATCCAGAGACCAGTGTTACCAAAGACCATCTACTCCATTCCCTTCCACCATCAGGAATTGTCAAAAGTGCCGTAAGTAATGGCAGTATCCAGAATTCTCCAAAAACACAATGGAATGTACGTTCATCAAAGAAATCACTACTATATGCCAGTGCAAGCATAGTGATTATTTGCAAAACAGCGGATGGAATGGTCAACATGTTAGAGTCAAAGGTACTATAACCCAAGCGCTTCAATGTGAGCGTAATATACGCTTGAATGGGTGTCGCGGGAATATATGCTACCAAACCAATGAAATAAAGACCCCACATGGAGGTATCACTCCATGCTTCACGGATATCCTTGAAGGTGGCTGGTTCTTTTAAGGATGTAAGTCCTTTTGCTGGATCATCACGGAGAATTCGCTATACTTATTAGCATTGAAGGAAAGTACTTGTAATTCATGACTTACATTCACCATGATTACTTCCTCTCGCTCAGTATACCAAGACTTTCGGAAAATGACCCCGGTAGTTTTCGTTGGGGATTGAGGAAGATACAAGATACTCTATATCGTTTTGTTAACCCGGCACGAGACACTCACGGGGACGAGACTTACGATAGCGCCAATCAAAAAGGTAAACAGGCCTTCAATCAGGAATAAATAAAACCATCCTGGCTTACCACCAACTCCTCTCATGGTGAGGATTCCAGCAGCAAGTAAAGCGGAAATGACTCTAGCAATATTGAGTGTGGACCAAAAGCAAGCAAGACGAACGGAAAGCTCCTTTGACTTGTAGAAGTAGGTCGCGAAGAGGATAGTACCAGGAATAAAGCCACCTTCACAAAGTCCAATGAGGGCACGAGTGATGTAGAAGGATGTGCGGTTTGTCATCCAGGCTTGAGTCCAAGCTAATATGATAGTGTCAGTGAAATCTTCTTCTCCAGTGTTGTCTTTGCATTCATTCTACTCACAAACAGTACCCCATAGCATCATCATGATAGGGAGGATATATTTGAATCCATAACGCTTAGTCAAGAACTGCACTGGGAATTCTGCTGCCAAGAAGCACATCAACTGAATGGTATTTCCCTTTGAAATTGTAAGTCCACATTCCATGTATCTCAGAGGAGAAACGCGATTGAGAACTTACGTTGTTATAGTCATCGCTGGTAAGCTTCAAATCCTTCAGAAGATCATCCGCCAAAGCGTTGGACAAATTTCCTCTATCGAGTTGCAATCCAAAGAACTAATTTCAAAGTCAGTAACCAAAACACTTATCAGGAAGGGGGATTCATACCATAACACAAATCCACACTAACAGATAAAGATCGGTCTTTCGAACCACCTTCCTCTCTTCTGCCTCCGTCCATGTAGCAGCTGGATCATATCGATGACTTCCTTCATACAATTCATGAGGTGGAAGTGCATCAGCCAAATTCTCACGACCTACATGAGCCACTGAGTTTTGTGATCCAGTATCGGAGACCACCTTTCTTGATGTACTACCGGTATCTTTGGTTTCATCCATCTTGTCACTTGGGAACAGATCACCTCAGCCAGTGCCTCAACCGTTGATCTAAATTTCGAGGAGAATCAATTGAACCGATGATAGTGCAATAGGTAAAACTATCCACTGCCCACATTAAGTATTTAAACAAAATCCATCCCATCCCCATGGCATCGAAGGAATTAACCCCCATTCTTATTTTACGGACGTTAAACACAACACGGTGATTTCAGTCATCAAATTTCACTTCAAAACGGAAAGACATTCCAGATATGAAAGTCAGATCCGTAGAATCTTCGCACTTTGAGTGTCAAATCAATGGTGACATATCACGCAATTGATATATTGACCAGGGTGTTGACGCATTGCGGGGTTCTGGCCAACAGGAAGGTTATGATGTGACTGCATTTCGAATTACCCGTATGTACCTCGGGAACTTTCTCATGTTCTCTTGTTCTCTTGTTCTCTTGTTTATTTCTTTTCTTCTTCATAGAATTGTGTTGTATACATATATTTTTGGAGATTTGTGAAAAAGATTCTAAGTAATTAAAAAGGAACTTGTCAAAATCTATCATTATCATGCCTTCTGCCGATTTCAACAACGTTACCGCAAAGCCAGTTCTGGATAATGAAGATGAAATAGCTCGCACGAGATGTACGAAACCTTTGGTTAATAATGGGATTTTGGATGAATACGAACATTCGGATCTGACACCAGTAATTGGAAGAGTATTTGATGAAAAGGTTCAATTGAAGGAGTTTCTTTCCCAGAGTGATACTGAGGAACTATTCAAAGATTTGGCGTTAACCAGTATGTTCAAATTGTATTCATGGTTTAGTGAAATGGATGTTGATAAGAGCATTAGTCTCCGATCGTGGTGTAATTTTCTTCAGAAATCAAGATATTACTCCTGAACAAATGAAAACGGTTATTGAACGAATTTCTAGAGCAGGTGGTTCTGTATGTCTTCCTCTCCTAAATGAATATTTCGTTTCCGTTATCCTTCCTCTTTATTTCCACTAAAATTCATAACCCTCCTCTAACATTACTCCCAGCCTGAATCCTCAACCCTTCACGTCCACCCCCTCACCGAACAATCTTCCGAACTAGGCGACCAAATCAGCGTCATATCCTCTGAAAAGCAAGCTAAAGGCGGCGGACTAACCCACCAACTCTCCGACGTATCTCGGTTCGCCAGTACAGGTTGGCATGCCGACATCACATTCGAGCGCGTACCTTCCGATTATGCCATGTTGAAAATCCATACCTTGCCTGAAACGGGGGGTGATACACTTTGGGCTAGCGGGAATGAAATTTATGAGCGGTTGAGTCCGAAGATGAAGGAAATACTTGAGGGGTTGACGGCGACGCATGATGCGAGTTTCTTTCATGAAGAGGCGAGGAGATTGGGTCAGCCGATTAGAGAGGATATGAGGGGGAGTCCATTGAATGTTGGGAGGGAGTTGAGTGCGGTACATCCGGTTGTTAGGACGAATCGTATGTTGATTCTTTTTACTTTCCTTATTCTCTTCTTCTCTCATTGCCGTTTCAATTCTCATGACTTGTTCCATTACTGATATTTAATAGCTGTCACGGGCAAAAAATCACTCTTCATAAACCAAGGTTTCACGAGACGTCTCCACCCTCTCACGAAAGATGAATCGGATCTTCTACTTCCATGGTTGAAGAACTTGGTGCCGTTGAATCATGATGCGCAGGTGAGATGGAAGTGGAGTAAGAATGATGTGGCAATTTGGGATAATAGGAGTAATTGGCATTGTGCTACTTATGATTAGTAAGTTTGAATTTTTGAGTATGAGGGAGTCTGGAGGTTGGATATTGGATGAGAACTGACAAGTGATGTTTTTAGTGCGGAGGCGAGGGCAGGTGATAGAGTTTGCAGTTTGGGGGAGAAACCATTTTTGTAAAGCGAGTAGATGATTGATATCGAACCGGTTACCCTGAATAGTGAGATGAGCAAGCAATAGAGAAATTTGGGTGTAAGATCTACTGTCCCTGAGGCTCGTTGGCTTACTCGGTGATATCAATTGATACCAGTACTAATGAAGCTATCTGCCCCATTAATTAGTCTGATGAATGCAATCGCAATACCTTACTATATATACTACCTTACTCGCAGTACGAGTATGGTCTCTCTCAAACTTCTATATGCACATGGAGCTTTTCGTAAGGGTTGCCACTTCAAAACCAAGAGACGACTGCAAAATCATTCTCTTGGTTAGACGATGCACTTTTGCCTTGTCCGGCTATTTGAATTTTTTTGTCTTGATTGTCGTTCGCGGATTCAAATCATTACTACCGTCGATTATTTCTGCTGTCTTTACAGTATGATATCACCGCACATTGCAGACTCCTTCTATTTGAGTATTTGAAATAATAAGATGAATAGACCCAACCCGTCAAAATTACACGGTCTGACGGGTACCTCAATAGCTTCTGCTAAACCTGAGTGGCACCATCATAGCCGTCTCATCTCAACATTTTTGCTCACTAGTCTCTACTCTTTAAACCTTTCTCGCGAACTTGAAGTTTAGTATCTACATCTACCTCTACTTCCTTCACAACAACCTTTCATATTGTGGGAGGGAATTGTGCGGATAGAGATGCTTGTCAGATAAACATCCCGCTCACCACTTCACTGCACTATACCCATACCCAAAATCACACTGAAGGAACAGAATATAAGTAATCAATATCTGTACTTAGTAGCCATAATATGATCATCGCCATAGTCTAATGTATTATGTATGTATGTATCACCGTCATTTTCACCAGCTCTCGCTATCAGCTATACTCGTTACAAGTACCGTTAGATGATTATTATTTTTAAATTCTCAACCCTTTGATCTTTACCACTTACCCTTCACCCTTTACCAACCACAAACCCCAGACCCCTTGAAGATAACTAACGATCTCCCTGGCTCCAATCATCATGTACGCTTTAGTGATCTTGTAACATCATTTCCAACATGCCGTATGTGTCCCGACTCTCGAGCACCTTTTATACAACGGAGATACACAATGCCTTTTGCATTTTTTTGATTTGATAACCTACCTACATACAGGTACTATCCGTGACTAATTTCGTCGAAGGGAAATCGTTTGATTTTGGTAAAACGCGTTTTAATGTCTCTGACTGTGAATCACTAGATATGCAAATACTAGACTACTGGCTTTGAAATCTGTGGATGGGTAGATTGTTATATAAGTATTCATTCCCTTGCTTTTAATACTTCTGTAGGATAGCTAGGGACCATTGTGAAGATTAAACGAACGACAAGCGGCTATAGGGACTGCGTGGAGGGTGAAAACGTTTGCTTTTAAATGTTATGTATAATTGGTTTGAAGAGTATGCGTTGCAGACTTGGAGTTGAGATCTTGAGTTTAGTAAGGCACTGTTCTCTAGTCTTTGATCATTACTGCCGTTTCTAGAATATTTATTCATAATATACACTGTTATTGTTACTGTTGTTTTTACGTTATATATATCTCAAAGGACATCAAGATTTACCCGAATCACTCATGTAAATCATACTCTCAAATCTCTACGCATGCATATCAGTGAAGGAAGAAGACCGCCTTGGAAGGCAACGTTTTGACATTAATTGATCTATAGAGAGAGTCTGATATGAGAATTCCACTTCTTTTTATATCTAGATTTTTCTCTCGGTTATCAATGTGTGATTGGGATACAAGGAAATTGTTATACCGTACCTATCCTTGTGATAGTTGATCTTAGCTTTTGTTGATTTGTTACCTTTATAGTGGAATTGGATCAGTATGTTTCTATTTCTGCTACTATATATATATATATATGCTCCTAGAAATACCATTTCCTCTTTTTGAATGTCCCTCACGGAGACTTCTCCGAGTTTATAGTCAAGGTCTGCTAGTATGCGATTTGGGTTTTAAGGTAAGGTTTAATGTGAGTTGATGCTCAGTGTCTGGATCTGTTCTGCACGGGTTCAAAGAAGGAGAATATTATGATTATTGATTATGACTCACGAGCACGTATGTATATCAACTAAGTCATCACGTGTATATCAATTAAGTCATCGTTGCCGATTATCTCGCACTGTTGTTCTCGGTATGGAAGTTTTTAGATCATAGCTTTTTGTATTCCATGTATAGCTTAAAGCTGAGAGAAGGATGTGACGTTTGGAACCGAATTATTGCACGGCGACCTGTCATATTGAAAGAAGATTCTGAAAGTTCATCTTTTATTGTGCAGTCATGAGTTGACGATTTCTTTTATGCTGTGTGTTTCTACTGCGAGTGAATTTCAAGTGAATAGTCTTATATTTTGACTAAAAATAAGGTTGTAAAGCCTTGCCTGGAGGATCTCAATGGTCTTCGACTGCTGTTTAACCCGCTCTATCAGATCTATAAAGGTATAAATAGCTTCCCAAATACTCAATTTTCTAACGTATAAACTTCTCTAATTCAATGGTCTTAGTGCTGATTAGTATCACTCCTATATCATTTTTCATCCGGACCCCGAGAGAGTGTTATATATAGCTCTAGTTTAATTGGGATACGAAGCCGATTCGTATATTTTCACTGCCAATAATGATCAGATAAATAAGATTACTACCATCTACGTACTTGTCACATTCTCTTTGTTTACTACCACTGAATTACGACTCTGTATGCATAAAGTACCGACCCATACGGAACATCAACTACATCATCCAATCTCGAGTTTCTTTCCAACCATGAATATACTACCGTAGATGAGAGTGTTTTACAAAGGTTTACTCTGACTGAAATATACCATTATATACAAATTGTTTGAAATATGATGTAATGCCATGTATTTTCAAGACTTGAATTTCCGCTCGTGCAAGAATCGAGATTACGTCATCAAGAAGTGAGTCCTAGACTGCTATAAAATCTATAAAAAGATCAGCTTATTATTATCCTAAACCATAATATGAACAGAATGGCAATCCAGCACCAACATGCGAGGATGTTGGACATGGATGGTAGTCTCCGCTGAGTTTGTTCAAGATATGTTGAAGCGTGGTGAATCATCTCATATTTCATTATTACTTTCACATTCGATCGGAACACTCACATCAACAGACCTTGTTGTCGCTGTCACTTCATTACCATTGATACCATAAGCTGGAATCAGAACTCTTAATCACATCAAGACCTTCCCTCCCTTTATACTCAGACTAGATAACAACTTCAGATACGTACCAACGTCGTTAAAATCTGTATTTATCGAGCTCCGCGCTTCCAACAACCATCCGGAAACACGTTCTTGGATTTTCATTGCTTATATTTGCTCCTTGGTCATGGTCATCTTTTTATACCTCGAAGACGACGAAGGAGGCAATGGCTGACTATATACAGTTCCTGGAATTGACGTTCCTCATTACATTTTATTGTTTTCTGTACCTAATTTGAATGATTCTTTTCCTTTAATTTATTTAATAAATAATCTCCGAATATATAAAAGCTAATTATCATTTTGCAAAAGATGTAATGAAATATAAAACACGGACTTCAGTAGCACTTGAGGGAAAACTAACTGCCATACCGTAATACTCGCGGAATTAGACACATAGCTTTTCCTCAAATTTTGTTAAAGTACCGATTCATTCTCAGAGAAGCTCTTTCTATTATATTTCCAATTTTGATTGTCCTAGCTTCATTTATCATCGCCATCTATTCTACTCACTGTCAACACTGCTATCAACCCCCGGAGATTCACAGCCTCAAACTTGGACTATTTTCACGTTATAAGATAACAACTAGATATTAGGAACTAACAGTTGCTTATTTGAAAACCGATTCCTCTTCCCATTTTCGTGCATCATCGCGCTCTGTGTTGAAGGCTAAAGAGCTCGATTAGCTAGCAAGAAAGGTCATCTTATACCACTCTCGAGAAGGAAAAAACGAGGTGATATTGTACTTTGTTAGATGAGATACAACTGAGCTTCTGATAACTATACACTTTCCTCATTGGTGTTAGATTATTAGTTCTAGGTATTCCATTCGACAGCCTCATGTACCACAAGCTCTGATATATAAATACCTACCGCCGCCGAGCACTTCAAGTTGGGATTGTAGTATGTTCGATGCTACTAAATATAAGAGTATGAATTTTGATGGACTATTGCGATGGTTGACGCATATCATACGTATCCGCGATATATCAAATGGAGTCGGCAGTTTGGACGACGACGATGAGCCCGATCTACTCCCTCGGCATGAGTCAAATCGAGTAGATTATTCGAGAGCTATGCAAAGCACCAGAAGAGGTGATAACTCTCCTTTTATTTGATCCCACAATGTACATCAATCATGCCCTATATTTACGTACTGGGAATACTGATAGTACTCTCTTAGGATAATTTACTGCTACTTTCGAGTTATTATGATTGTCAAAGATTCAGGAGTATCATCACTTCCGCTCTTTCTCACCACATAGATCTCAGAAGCTTATGATACAGTTCACTCACTTCACTATATGATTTTCTTTTGTATTTCAAAATCCCCGCACTAAATGCATCATATCTTAGCATGTATCAAGTATGAAATAATACCAGAGGAGATCTGCTACTAATCTTATATAGTTTCAGAGACGGTTTATTTTTGAATTTTGAAGCTTGAAAATCTTGCAGTGAAAGAACGTTTCCATACTGATTGAAGAAGTCGATTGATGCAACTAGGAGAGTGGACAGTGAAGTGAGGGATTAACATATCGATGCTTTCAAGACAGACTCAAGAATTGGTGCGAGGCCCCGCCGAATCCGAAAACACTTGATTATATAAATAGCCATTCTCATTTCATCAGTAAAGCCAGATAAGGCAACAGCTCTTCAATTTACGTTTTGTAGGAACGAAGCGCTCAGTATATTACTATATCGCTATACTATTTATAGAGTAGAGTATT